AGAGTGGTTGATCAGTGGAATCAAATCAAAGACCCAGACATAACTCCACACACCTATGAACACCCGATTTTTGATAAAGAAGCCAAAAATACACAATGGAAAAAAGAAATTGTCTTCAACATATGGTGCTGATCTGACTGGATGTCAGCATGTATAATAATGCAAATAGATTCATATTTATCATCCTTCACAAAACTTGAGTCCAAGTGGATCAAAGACCTCAACGTAAAACCAGACACAGTGAACCTGATAGAATAGAAACTAGGGACTATCCTTGAATGCATTGACACAGGCATCAACTTTCAGAACAGAACACCAACAGTGCAGGCACTAAGATCAACAATTAGTAAATGGGACCTAATGAAGCTGAAAAGCTTCTGTAAGGCAAAGGACACCATCAATAGGACAAAACATCAGCCTACAAACTGGGAAAAGACTTTTGCCAACTCCACATCTGATAAGGAGCATATGTATGTATGTATGCATGTATGTATATATATATATATATATATATATATATATATATATATATATTAGACATCAACAAACCAAATAGTCCTATTAAAAATGGGGTATAGATCTAAACAGAATTTTCTCAATAGAGGACTCTTAAATGGTAGAAAAACACTTGAAATGTTTGACATGCTTAGCTATCAGGGAAATGCAAATCAAAGCTACTTTGAGAGTCCATCTTACTCCAATCAGAAAGGCTAAGATCAACACTAGTGACAGCCAGTGCTGGCAAGGGTGTGGAACAAGAGGAACACTCCTGCATTGCTGGTGGGTGAGCAAGCGTCCAGCCACTGTGGCGATGAGTGTGGCAGAAAACTGGGCATTGATCTGCCTGAAGACCCAGCTATACTACACTTGGGTGTATATCCAAAACAGCCACTCCATCCCACCACAAGGACTCGCTCAACTATGTTTATAGAAGCTTATTCATAACAGCCAGGGCCTGGAAACAACCTAGATGTCCCTCAACTGAAGAATGGATAAAGAAATTGTGGAACCTTTACACAACGGAGAATTACTCACTGTTTTTTGTTTTGTTTTGTGTTTTGTTTTTAAATGAAACCATGGATAGAACTAGAAAAAAAATCATCAGACCCAGAAAGATAAACATGGTGCATGATCACTTATGAATGGATATTAGCTGTTAAGTAAAAGATGATCACACTACACTACACAGACCCAGAGAGGCTAAGTAACTAGGAGGGCTCCAGGGGAGATGCATGGATCCTCCTGGGAAGGGATGGACTGGGGATGGGTGAGTATGGGAACAGGGGGGTCAGGCAGGGGAGAGAGAGATGGAGGGAGAGAGTACAGGGAGAGATGACTGGAATTGGGGGGTTTTGGAGGGGTGATGTGGAAAGCTAGTACTGTAGAAATTTCCTGGAACCTCTGAGGGTGATCCTAGGGAGAATTTATAGTAATGGAGGATATGAAGCCTGAACAGGCCATCTACTGTAATCAGGCAAGGCTTGGGGATTCAATTCCTGGCTGAGTTTTGTGAACACATTTCTTCCACAGCAGATAATAAACAGTAAACCATAATTGACAGGGACTCTGACAGGGTGGTGTCAGTGCTGCTGGCTGTGGGGACTTAGGTGCTGCTGTGGCTGGGACCTGGGGTGAACAGCCTGTGTAGGGCGGTGTGGGCCTCAGACATCCGTGCTAGAAGAGTGTCCATGTTGAGGAAAGGGACAGGGAGAGATGCTGGTTACGTGAGGCAGTGAGGGTCAGACAGACAGGAAGCACCAGACTTCCTGAGGATGGAGTATTAAGGAGGCGGGCACCAGAATTCACCTGTCTCCTGACCTCAGACACAACAGACATTGTGAAGAATGGAACCACCTCTAGGTGGAGACACACCCTGGCCTCCTCCCTCAAGGTTTGATTAAGTGGGCAAGTCAGGGACTTGGCTCAGGGAACCACCCCTAGGAATATGGACTAGCCTTAGAATATATTACCTTTCCTTCCCAGCATTCTTAGGGATGGCCTGCCATTCTGAGTCCTGATTCAGAAGGGTGTGACTATTCTCTCTCTCTCTCTCTCCCTCCCTCCCCCTCCCTCTCCCTCTCCCCCTCCCCCTCCCTCTCCCTCTCCCTCTCCCTCTCCCCCTGAGACAGGGGTTCTCTTTGTAGCCCTGGATGTCCCTGTAGCTCTATAGATCCAGCTGGTATTGAACTCGCAGATATCTGCCTGCCTCTTCCTCCTAAGTGCTGGGCCTAAAGGTGTGTGCCACCACCACCTGGATTTTATTCTCTTCTTTTTCTTTTGGATGCTGCTGGCAGCTTAAGGATGTGTTTAAACTTACCTCACACATTAGGTGTCTTAGTTACAGTTTCTATTGCTATGAAGAGACACCATGACTACAGCAACTCTTACAAGGAAAGCATTTAATTGCGGTAGCTCACTTAACAGTTTTGGAGGTTCAGTCCATTATCATCATAGTAGGGAGCATGGCGGTGTGCATGCAGATACGGTACTGGCTACATCTTGATCAGAAGGCAACAGGAAATGATCTCAAACACTGGGCAGTATCTTGAGCACAGGAAATCTCAAAGCCCCACAATGACACACTTCCTCCAACAAGGTCATACTCCAACAAAGCCACACCTCCTAATAGTGCCACTCCCTACGAGCTTATGGGGGCCAATTACATTCAAACTACCACATGGGTTTCCTTATTTTTCAAAGGTAGAATGAGCAAACAAATAAATGTAGGGTTATGTTATAATCACATATAGCTACCTGGTGATAGCGGATGCATATGATGCCTAAAATGAAAAGCGTCTATCATTGGCCAAAGAATATATAAACAAGAGTCTAAGAAACTATAAGAAGGGCTTCACTCTTTAGTCATGGACAGTCAGCATAAACAAATAGGCCGAATAGATGTTTATTCAGGGAGAAATAACTTACAACCTAGACAGATGAACACCACCAAGTTCAACCGGATGCTCTCTTCTATGCATCCCACCAGCAACAGAGCATTCCAGCTCCTCCTCAGACATCCTTCCACAGGTCACTTCCGCCCCTGGCTCCACCCCCCAATGGGCGTGGCCAGTGCCACGGAAGGAAACAAAGTGAATACCCCACTACAAAAGGGCTCCTCTCTATCATACAAGACACACAGCACACATGCCATTCTCAACCTCCCTGCCAGGAAATGCCACAACAGAAGAAACAAAGCAAAAGAGTATTCTAAGAAAGTCTTTCATGTTTCCACTGGGACTAAGTCATGCCACCTGGTCGTGAAGAGAGCTGGCCAGGTGCCATTGTGATGCTGGTGACATCACCATTAACAGAAGATTCACACACCACAAAAGCAGTGGCTACACTTAGGTAATTCACATGGCAAAGTCCCAGAGATATACTCCCTGGGAAACACTGGTCCTGAAGGAACGATTTGGCTGTATCCTAACACCACCCTGATCTGAGGTAAGGGGCTTTTGGGACTTCTCGGACAATTGTGTCTGGGAGCCAGGCTCAACGGTGCACACCTGTAATCCCAGCATCTGGGAGGCTAAGGCAGGAAGATTATTGTGAGATCAAGGCCAATCTGGGCAACAGAATGAGACCCTGTTTCAGAAAACAAAACAAAATATTGTGTGTACACAGCATCCTCTGACCTTGGCTTCTGAATTTGTTGCTGGTGCCTCAAGGTTCACTGGGAACCAGCTAGGAACAGAGCAGCTGGCGGACAGACCACGGCTCCCCTGTCCATGTATTCCCAATAGTAGTGAGCTTAAAGATGTAAATTTTAAAACTGCAAGGGTAATTCTTAGCAGGGTAAGGTTTCATGAGGAATTGACCAGTAGAGCCATCTGTGATGTCCCATTTTCCAGTAGCCATGTGACAAAGGGCAAAAGAGACAGGTGAATTTATTTTATACATTTGTTCCATGAGTTTCTACATCTGGACCACAACACAATCACATCAGTGGGTAAGCAATATAAGATTACAAAGGAGACCTTTAACCTGTGTTTTCATGCTGTGCTTGCTTTCCAAAGCAAGCATGTTCTGTGCACTTAGAGCCCAGTTCAACTCAGGGCCAGCCCCACCCTCTCCCAACCACTCCCTCAGCAGTAGGTCATCAGAGTCCTCCACTGCACTCGGGCATGCTGCCATATGGCACATTGGACATAGTGTCCAAACAGATCCGAGTGAAACCTCCAAGCTAGGCTGCATGCCAACTGGAGCTCAGATTCAGCTTTGAAACCTCCCGCCCTTGATGTGGCCGCTGATCCTCTTTGCAGTCTCTGCATAAATGGCAGTCTGTACGTAAATGTCTTACCGTGCCTGCTGGGGAAGAAATGACAAAGTCAACTTTGAAGGCAGAATTTATTGGCTCAGTTTAGGATGACCTCATCATCATGATCTCTCCCCATTGCCTCAAACACACGATAGGATTCGTGGCAGTTATTTCATCAGAGCAAGACAGGCTTGCAGTCTAGGGAGACAAGTGGCTGGTGTGCAAGCATAAGAATCTGAGTTCAATTTCTGGAACCCACGTAAAAGCTGGATGTGGCATATGGCTGGAGTGCCAGAACTAAGGGGGCCAAAACAGGTGGATTCTAGAGATTTTTGCCAGTTGGCTTAGGCAAAGTGAAAAGTTCAGGCTCAGAGAGACCTGCTTCAAAAAAAAAGTAAGGTGGAGAGCAATTGAAGGCACTCAACATCAGCCTCTCTGTACAACACCACACACACACACACACACACACACACACACACACACACACACACACACAGATGGACTTGCTTCTCCAGGAAACACAAGAAGAGTCAGCACATTCCAATTTTTTGAGGATCACTCCAAAGGTACTTCAAACAGAATAGAGATAACCCTAAGCCCCCTCACTGAATGTTCTAAGAAGGAACTCTTGAGTTAGTGTCCAAATATGTGCAGATGCTAACCTACCATTGGGGGTGTTGGGATGCAGTGGCTCTATTTAACTCACACTTAGAACCTTCTTTTCCTTCCCTCCTCCAGGAAGAAATGCATGCTAAAAAGAGAATGCTAATGTTGCTTTCCTGCCTCTTCCTGCTGATGATGGCTAAGATCTACTTCAGGTAAATACTGATGAACCACACAGCCTGAAGGAAGGCCAAGAGGGTTAAAATGCTGAATATCATCCAAAGATGCCATTAACACATGAGTGAACCAGAAGTAGTTGGAAGTTTTTCTCTGTTTCACATGGTCCCACTGGACTGGTTTCTCTCCTGACTGCCAGTTGCCACAGCCACTTATGAAGCAATAACTCAGGGGCTAATATTAAATATAATTGCTTGGCCAATGGCTCAGGCTTATTACTGGCTAGCTCTCATAATTAAATTAACTAATATTTACTAATCTGTGTACCACCAAATGGCTGCAGGCTTACCAGTAATATCCTGGCATCTTATTTCTATGGCAACTACATGGTGTCTCACTGACTCCATCCTTCTTTCTCTCGATCTCTTTATTTCCTGCCTAGTAATATTCTGCCCTGTCATAGGGCAAAGCAGCTTTATTGGTCAACCAATAAAAGCAGCACATATTTGTAGCGCACAGAAGGACATCCCACATCTCCAGAAGTTACTTCCTTTCTTGGGGAAGCTGTGCACATTTTAATTCTCTCATTTTCAGATGCCAAGTGGACATTTGTTGATTTTCTTGTCCCAGGCTCCATTCCAGATGCTAGAAAATAGCAGACTTGCCTACAGTGTGTATTTCATACGCTACAGAATTTCATATGTTTCATGACAATGTCATGAAAATGAGCAGAGCAGGATGCTCAGTTATTACTGTTGTTTTTGTACTGGAGATAGAACCACAACAAATGTTCTCCTCTATGCCTCTTCCTGGATCTATTTATGTAACACAATGTTTCTGAGTGCCACTGGGAAAATAATCATAGCCAAGAAGAGAAGTGAATACCTTTAGTCCCAGCACTCAGGAGGAAAAGGCAGGTGGATCTCTGTGAGTTGGAGGCTAGTCTGAACTACATAGAAAGTTCCAGCTAGTAAGGAACTCTCTCTCTGTCTCTGTCTCTGTGTCTCTGTCTCTCTGTCTCTCTCTCTGTGTGTGTGTGTGTGTTTGTGTAGCCTTTGCTGTCCTAGAAATATATCTGTAGACCAGGCTGGCCTCACAGAGATCCACTTGCTTCTGCCTCCCCGGTGCTGAAATTAAAGGTGTGTGCCGCCACCACCTTGCATGATCCTGCCTCAAAACATAAAATAAAAAAAGAAAGGAAGACAGCCCTATCATGAAAGCATACCTTAAGAAAATGAAGTCCTCTCCCTGGCCCCATGTATATTTGGCTTTTTCCAGTACATCATTTACGATAAAATGGGTATTTGATTTCTTTGCAATCAGGTTGCTGTATTTTGGGTGTAAATCCTTTACTGTGTGTGTACTGGAGAGCTGGTGTATTTAGGGAACAGAGACAGGATCTGCCCAGTCACACTTCTGATAGACTGCAGATCAGGTTCACTGAAAGTATGTCCCAGAAAACAATCAAAACATAGCATAGCCATCTAACACAGTCACTGCTTAGTTTTTACTATTTTCATTTTATATGTTTGTTTTCACTGCATGTGTATATGTGTACCGTGTGTGTGCCTGGTCCCAGAAGAGTGAGAAGAGGGTGTCAGGTCCCCTGGAGTTGCAGCCCAGTAGTGCTGGGATTGAGACCAGGTCCTCAGGAAGAGCGGCCAGCTCTGTTAAGTGCTGAGCCATCTCTCCAGCCCCATCCAGTTTTTTCTCAAACTAACATTCTGTGGTGTCCTGCATTTGCTCTGGCAAACCCTCTCCTCAGAAGACATGCCCTCTCGAAGTGTCACTCTTCACCGTGTGAACGTTCTGTAAACTGTAGGACAAAATTGTCAGGGACAGAGGGTCTGAAGATCACAGAGGCTGGGGGCACAAAAGTCAACAAGTCTCCCTATGTGTAGGTCAGTAGGCATGTAGTGTATAAGTGAATTGTGTGAACACGCACTCGTGTATGAATGGGTGTAGCGTGTGTGCACACGCACCCATGTGTGTGGTACACTGTTTCTAAGGAGACAGAACATGAGGAGGCAGTACTCACTCCTTGGCTCTTGGGATAGGATTGTATGAGGAAAAGCCCCTTCCTCCCAACAGGTTGTCTTTTCGAACAGGGCCAATGCCTCCCAGAGGGGACTTGGGGGTCAAGGAGGAGAAGCATATCCATTTGGGGGAGGCTTTGGGGTGTAGTTCCCATCCCCTGGAGTCTCCAGGTCACAGAGCCCACCTCAGGGTTAGTAGGTGTTGAGCATGCTTTTGTTGGGTGTGTAATAGGCCCGAAATGTGATCCTGGCTAGACCTAAAGAAACTGGCCGTGTAAGTTTTGTGTTGGTATGCTTCTGCTGAGAAAAAGCTCCAGAAACTCAAGGCCATTGCTGGTTCATTGACTTAGCACCAGTGGGGTCTCCCCACGACTAGGCATGACAGTCACTGTTGGAGTGTCTCTGTGGGGAACAGGTTCTTTAGGCTAGGCCACTCTTTAGCGAGTCATGATTTCTGCCCTAAATCTAGAAATTAGCAGGATCAACATACTGAAACACAGTGGCTTTAAAATTTTTAAATTATTTTTAGCTCAGTATATGTGTGCATGACTGTATGTGGGTATGAGCATGGAAGTGCAGTTGCCTGTGGCTCTGGTCTTGGATGCCCTGGAGTCACAGACAATTGCACACCCCCTGACATGGCTTGTGAGAACTGAACTCAGGTCTCGAAGACCAAGTGCTCTCAACCACTGAGCCATTTTTTCCAGAAACCCCAACTTGATGATTTTTAGCAAGTTCCCCACTTTTCATGTGTTGTCTGATGAGGGGCCACGGAATTTTGTCAGTCTGTCTTAGGAGGCAGTCAGTTTGGTGATGGGTTTTCTGTGCCAGGCCATGTTAGATCACATCAGAAAAGGATGAGCTCTGGAGGTCAGCTATGTCATAGAACACGCCAGGTGCTACATCAGAAGCTGCCAGGCAGGTAATTAAACTAAATAGTTAATGAGAGTGTGGTGACTTTGCTCAGTTGTAGGCATCTGACTGTCCTGAGGTCATTGAAGGTGGGCTGAGTTAAGCCACTGCCATCCAATGCTGTTATCTCCAGTCACAGCTTGTCTGGATGTCACCCCATAGTAAGCTAGAAACATCGGCACTTAAAAGGATCAAGGTGTCAGGGGCAGGGTAGTGGGTACTTTCAATCTAGTGCTCTGAGGCAGACGCAGGGCCTTCCTGTGAGCTCATGGCGGTCCTGGTCTATACAGTGAGTTTCAGGCCAGCCAGGGCTACATGGTAACACTCTGTCTCACAGGAAAAAGGGGTGGGAATCAAAGGTGAATACATAGATTCTTGACCCCTTCATATCGTGTAAATAACTCTTTTTTGAGTTTACATTCTCTAGTAACCTTTCCCCCCTCCCACCGAGATACCCTTTTCTTCATTCTGCTGTTGTGTGGCCTCTGCCCCAATCCCCTTGCTCTGTTCCCCAGACCAGCTTGTCCCCTTCCGGTCCAGGGGACACCTCCTCTCCCAGCTACTTCCTTGGCCCCAAACTGTGTCCCTAGAGCTGTACCACTGCTCTGTCCCAAAGCCACTGAAAGCTGAGGATAGGCAGCGAGGTCAGGGAAAGAGCCACGGAGCTGAGAACACCTTGTTTGGGCTCAGTGGGTAAGCGCTGAGCAAACAGATGCCCCAATAACCCGCTGCTCTTTGTACCAGGGACCTCCACGAAGAAGAACTTCAGCTCTCAGGCTGGTTTAACCCCAGGTAAGAGCAAAGACACGCACATGTCGCTTGGAGGTGACAGTTTCGGCACAACCGTAGCTCTGCTAGGGCGTCTTGAGTTAAGAGTTTGTTTCCACCATTTTGACAAAAGCTCAAGGGACTCTTTCAAGACAGGAAGTCCCGATGCTGTGGAGAAAGCTGGTGTCTTGGTCTGGGTTCACGGTTAATCTTCCTGCTTCTTCAGGGGAAGAGATATGAGGCAGGTTCTTGTTTCTGCCTCTGTGGGACAGCCATGCCTGAGAGGGCAGACAGTGTTTGAAAGAGCAAGGGTGTGTTCACTAGCATTGGTGTGTGGAGATGGAAAGCCAGTCTCCAATCATCTTCTTCTGCCTGGGGTTCGTGGTGCTGGTGGCTGATGGTGGAGGAGAAGTGGTGAGGTCATGAGGTGGCGGTGTCTGAACATGCATGGTCAACGGTATCACCTTCACTACAGGTCTACTGTCTCACTGGTGGCTTAAACTCAGCAAACAGGAGCTGACGGTGGGTGAAACAGTCAGGTCTGAGGCTAATCCAGGTTTCCCTCAGGTTCACCTGGAAGCAATAGGGAAAGGCTACTACTGGCCTTCCTAGCACCCTCTGCTCTTGCAGGATCCGGAAGGTTATAGCCATGAAATCAGGCCCAGTGTTGGTGTGGGCACCTCCCATGATGAAGTGACTGTTTCTCTATCTGTGTGTCTTTCTTTTCCTTTCCTCTTTTGTGTGTATAGAGACCAACACTCATATCAGGTGTCTTCCTTGATCACCTCCAACCTTGGCGCCACACTTATTGTTGTTTGTTTTACATTTCTGTGTGTGTGTGTGTGTGTGTGTGTGTGTGTGTGTGTGCGCGCGCACATATAGAGGTTGAAGAACAACTGCAGTAGTCAGTTCCTTTTTTTTTTTTTTTTTTTTTTTTTTTACCATTTTGCTAGCTCCTGGGGATCAAACTCAGGTCATCAGGTTTTGCAGCAAGTACCTGTACCCTTTGAGCCATCCTGCTGGTATTTTTCCTTTTTAGTGTGGATGTTGGGAATTGAACTTGGGCCATCTTAGGTGATTGGCAATCACTTTATTGACAGCCATATCTCTGGGATTACATGTGTATGTCACATGCTCTGTGTTCAGCAACTTGCTAACCAACTCCCCATGGGTGCTGGTTCTCGGTTGGCACTTCATAAGCAAGGTGAAGGACCCTGAATGGAGTTTGTACAGTGATATGTGTTTATCCACAGGACAAATTTCTAAAATGGGATCTTTACACCAGACACTATGGTGTTTAAAATTTGGTGTTAAGTTGTTGTTTCCCTTTAATAACTATACAACTTTACTTTCTTATTTACAGGACTCAAACATATTATTGACTCTTATTCTTGGTGAAACACCTTGTTAAACTCTCTCAACACAATCTGTGTCTCCATGGTTGAACACATTTTAACTACTGTTATGGTAGTTCTTAGGATCATCCCACACAACTCTGCTCATATCATTTCTTAGTGTGTGTCCATGTGTGTGCTAGCATACATGTGTGCTCATGTGTATAGGGGCTGGAGGACAACCTTGAGTATTCCCCAAGAGATGTCCTCAAGTCGCTCACAGAACCCAGAGCCTGCTGATTTGACTAGACTTCCTGGCTTTCAAGCTCCTCCTGGCTCTACCTTTTTCGATCTGGGACTACAAGTGTGAAAAGCTGGGCTTTGAATGAGTACTGGAGGTTGAACTCTGGTCATCATGCTTACAAGACTGGTGCTTTAGCCTGAAACCATATCCCTAGCCCCTAATTTGCTTTAAAAAAAAAAAATGAGCCAGGAGTTGGCGGACTATACCTTTAATCCCAGCGCTTGGGAGGCAGAGGCAGGTGGGTCCCTGTGAGTTCAAGGCCAGTCTGGTCTACAGAGTGAGTTCCAAGACAGCCAAGGCTACACAGAGAAACCCTGTCTCTGAAACAAAAAAACAAACAAACAAACAGCAAAACAATAACAACAAAATGAAATAAAAACTGCAATCTCCTATTACTGTGTCTGGCTTTTTGCCCTTCCTGCTCCCTTGATCTGCCCTCACCTCTAACACAATCAATATCCTGAGTCCCGAAGGCCAATCATGTGACCCTGGTTGATCAAATGTTCATTTCTCTTTTATGTAAATTTAACTTCATATCCAGAATATGGGTACATATTCAGGAAAAGCTCCTTTTAGTGTTTTGTAACTTTAGAAAGAGGTATACCAAGCCTGTGATATTCTGGACTCCTTGTCCAAAATCATGTTATCACTGTAATAGATTTTGTTGCCTTTGTGACTGTCCAGTGTTACCACAGGCAGTCTAACCACTTGCCACCCTGCTCATGGCCCTGAGTGACTCTGCTGTTGGAACCAATGCTGCTATGTCTCCTTCGCCTGACTTCTGGATAGAGTGTTGAGATAGGACAGGTGTTGGGCCACTCTGGCTGCCATAACTGGGTGGTTTGGCCAGAGGAAATTCTCTTTCCATGGAAAGTTTAGTCCATGGCCAGGCAACAGCACAGTCAGGATCTAGGGAGGCCTCTTCCTGGCTTGCAGATAGCTGCCACACTGTCCTGATGTGGCCAAGACAGGAAGCAGGGCAAGCCTACCCTCTTTGTCTCTTTTCATAAGGACACAAATCCCACCCTCATAATCCAGTGACTCATAAGGCCTCACCTCCAAATACCATCACATGCAAGGATTAGGGCTTTGACATGCTGTGTTGGTGGTTACAATCTGTATGGATACAGTCTTCCAAGGCAGTACCCTATATAAAATCCTAAAGATCTCTGTTCTTTTCACTTGCCAATAGCATGGGCATGAAAATTATCTTTTGAGTGATGTCAGCAGAGATGACAGAGTAAGGCTCTCTCCTCCACATAAACCAGTTGAGAAAAATGGAAGAACAGACTCCACTTTCCTGAGCCTGTGGTAGGACAGTGATGTTTGGGGTATTTTATTAACGCCCTGGTCCCTGTGCTGAGCTCCTGCTCCAGGATGGCTTTAGAGGACAGTAGTCTTCACATGGCAGGGAGGACAGGGAGGATGACACCCTTCAAAGCCTCAAGCTCAGAGGACCCACTAAGCTCCCACCTGCAAGGGCAGGCATTGGGTTAGCCACTACCAAAGGCGAGGTAGTGAAGCAAACAACAGGTTGAGCAAAGGGTTCAAGAGGAACAATCCATGGGGGCTTTGGAAATCTTGGCAAATATCTGACACTCAGAACTGAAAACCATGCTTATGGAGGGCTGTGAGTTCGGAAAAGACCTCAAGAAATTTCTGAGCCCCACTTCCAGCTGACATGGGCTCTAGGCAAGCAGGATGTACGAGTTAAGGTGGAGTTCACTGCCCACAGCCTGGCTGTGTGACAGTGGCACATCTCAACTTGTGCACAAGCCCTCCCAGCAAAATAGATAATTTACTGAACCCAAGCATTTATGGAAAATTGCCCAATCAATTGTGAACTGTTATGCTAACTGGCAAGCAAACATAACAAAAAAAACAAAAACAAAAAAAAAAAAAAACAAAACACTACAGCAATCTGGATTGCTACGGACAGCAGAATTATGCAATGAGAGTTTAGAGCATGTTTCAGGGGTCAACCCATCAGAGATTATCTCTTAAAGAACATACCTCACTTAGCAAGATGGTGAGGAATATTGTCACCAAAGATGCATATCTCAACCTTATCTGTAAGACGATGGGTATTTGCCTTCTGAACGCGTCAGCTGTCCCCATTGCAGATTCTTGTGTAAAGAGGTCTTTCCCTCATGTTACAGCTTGGGGATTCTTCCCACAGCACTCAGTGTATTAATTACTGGGCACATTTTCCTATGTATTGGTGTATTGGAAGCCTCCCCCAGTTATGTGTGATTCTGGCAAGAAAGTAATCACAGCCAACACCCTTACTCTCTCAACCAGGTCTTCATATAAACTTAGAAGTCTGTCCCTCTGCAATAATCCTTCTTGGCAGAGTTGGTTAGTGTTAGTGTTCAGGCAAAGAGACCTCAATTGAGACATTCACAGATGCCCAAGAATTACAGCCTATCTAAAGTTGTTGAGCCATAGCTCTTAGAGATAGAGAACAGGAGTAGATAGAGTCTTTCTGCCAGCAGATAGGAAAGTGCCATCCCAAGCTAACCTCACATTAACCATAAAGCATGCCTATTCTTAACTTGTCAGTCTATTGACAATAGACCTGTGTCCTAAAATTGTCATTGGGCACTGTATCCTCCCTGTCTGCTCATGGTTTTGCTTCTTATCGCTTCCTCTAGAAATGTGCTTTTAACCAATGAGGGAAACTTCTTTTATCCTTTCAAAGCTCCTGAAGGAGAAGAGATTTTAGAATAGAAGAAGAAGCTAGAAGTAGAAGCATGGAGAATTTAGAAGTGGGACAGGATCATTGGAGAAGAAACAGAACAATAAAACCCCCTTCTGCTTGAACCTTTTCACGTGGTCTTTTTCTTATGCACAATTTAAATTACAACATATACATTTTTTTAAAAATTCAAAATGAGGTGGATCTCCCCATTCCCATCCTTTTCTGGAAGTTTCTTTTTTAAATCATGAATAGATGTGAGACACTATAATGTTTTTCTTGTGTCGAGTGATTTGGGCATGTGAATGCTCCTTACATTAATTTTCAAAAGCCTTACCTTCTTGCCATGCCCTAATCCTTCTATTTCCTCAGTATTGAATGCAGGTCTAATCTGTCTCACTCCTGTTGATGACACAGATGACTTAAACCATGTAGTTAGAACACCATAGGGTACACAGAGCCAGAAAAGGAGCAGAGGAGGTGGGGTGGATCCTGGCTTCAGGCAAAGCCAAGACTACTGACAGGGTTCTGACCCTGGACTGCCCATTTTTTTAAAATTGATTAAGCTATAAACAGCTCTCAAGATAAATAGTCCCAGGCTTGAGGGAGAACACAACGTCTGAGGCTAGACTGGCTGGGAACATCGTGGCTCTGCCAGCTCAGCCACTTGCTAGTTGTGTGCTGGCATGAAGAACAAGAAGAAAACTAGGGCGTTCCCAGGGTCACATGAGCGAACTAGAGTTCGCTGATTGGTACCTAGTCAGTACCTTCTGAGGGTTAACATTTGCCACTGAGTGCCATTCACTCCTGCCATTCAGTGACATGGTGGCTTGTGTCAGTTTTTGTCTGTTGAACCATACTGTCATATATTATTTCTGCTTTTGTGTGTCCTGTAGGAGACGTGTGGACGTCATCACCACCACAGAGTGGCTGGCCCCAGTTATATGGGAAGGCACCTTCGACAGAGAGGCCCTGGAAAAATATTACAGAAAACGGAACATCACCGTGGGCTTAGCTGTGTTTGCTGTTGGCAGGTGGGTGCTGTGAAGCCCTGCCCTTTTTATCTTGGGATGTGTGGTTCAGCACCCATAGATGTTTTGCCCCCCCCCCCAAAACCTGCATGTCCTCTTTAGTGATCACCACTGCTGAGTATGCCAAATAGAAGTTTGCTATGATGAGTCCCTGTTCCGAGGCTGGGTCCATAAGGCCACTTGGGCATTTTTAACCAATGCCCCACTCTACTCTGACTCAGTAGTTCTAAAATTCCATGGCACTGTCAGCCCATGGCCTTACTAACCAGCTTGGTGGCTTCAGACCCAAGATCTCTACCCTGACCTATTGGAGTTTTTAGTATCAAGGACATTTCCTTTATCAATACCCATTCCATTTAGAAATGTAAGTTTCTTGTTCTGTATGTTCCCAGCCTTACTGACCAGTACCTGGATCCATTCTTGAAAACTGCCAGCAAATTCTTCATGCCTGGGTATAGGGTGATCTTCTATATCATGGTGGATAGGTATGTGCAGCTACCTCAAATGTTCTACAACCCTCTGCAATCCTTCCAAATGCACATCTTAGGTGAAGAGAGATGGTGGACCAACCTTGACCTCATGCGCATGAAAATCTTGGCGGAGCACATCCAGGAGCACATCAGATATGAGGTGGACTTCCTCTTCATCATGAGCGCCAACCTGGTCTTCCAGAATGAGTTTGGGGTGGAGACCCTGAGCACATCTGTAGCCCAGCTTCATGCTTGGTGGTATTTCCAGAAGACAAATGATCTTCCCTATGAGAGGAGACCTGTGTCAGCAGCCTACATCCCCTTTGGCCTGGGGGACTTTTATTACTCTGGCTCCATTGTAGGGGGAGTGCCCTGGCAGGTTTTGAACTTGACTCAGGAATACATGAAAGGTGTTATTTGGGATGCAGAAAATGGACTTAACAGCACCTATGAAAAATACCTCAACAAATATTTTTTCCTCAACAAACCCACCAAGCTTCTATCCCCAGAGTACTGCTGGGACCCCACCTTCAACACCCCTCGGCAAGTGTGGTACATGAAGATTGCGCAGTATCCCACAGATAGCTTATGACACACCAGTTTTTATGTGCTAGAGAACAAACTACAGTAATTCCTTATAGACACAGGATATCTTTTCAACATACACACTTCAGAGGCCTGATAATGTATACCCTTTCCAAATCAACTGTTCTTTCTTGCAATTTCGAATCAACCAATTTAGCTGAAACTAGGATGAATAAAAGGTGATATTTCATGTCATACACATAATGCTGTTAGCTCTGTATTGTAGACAACATGAAGTTATTGAGACATGGAACATATTTTATTTAAATGCAGATTACAAATAAAAATCTTTCCACAAATGAAAATGCTTTAACATTAATATATAGAAGAAAAAGGAATAAATGACTGTCCGTTCAGTTGTCTAGTATGTAGTATGTTGTTGAGATGCTTGTGACCAGCTCCTCCTCCTCCTAGTCTCAGTCTGTCCAGAATGTGGTGGGACCTAGATGAATTGGACAATATATGCAATTACAGAGAGGGGCATTAAGCTAATTTGTGTGTGCATGTGTGTGCATGCATGTTTGTGAGTATGCATACATACATGTGAGGGGCAGAGAACAACCTTTGCTGTCATTCTTCAGGATCTACCCACTTTGTGTTTTGAGACAGGATCTCTGACTTCACCAGGAACTTGCTAAGTGGGTTAGGTTGGTTGGCCAGTGGGCCCCCAGGAATCCACCAGCCTCTCAGTCCTTAGTGCTGGGATTGCGAGTGTGCAATGCCATGCCCAGTTGTTTTAGGTGGGTTTTAGGGATCAAATTCAAATCCTTGTATCTGTGTGGCAAGCACTTTACCAAGTGAGTCATTTTTAAATCTGTGCTATGTTTCACTTGGGGGGGGTACTACTTCATTTTTGATTGAATATGTGGAGAGGTGAGGTGCATGTGTGTGAAGGTGCCAGAAGAGGTGAGAGGTGTTAGATACCCTGCAATTGGAGTTCTAGACAGTTGTGAGCCACCTGATGTGGGTGCTGGAAACTCAGTTTCTCAGGAAGAGCAGCCAGTATTCTTAACCACTGAGCCATCTCTCAAACCCTTGTTTTGTTTTTGAAACAAGTTTCTTTTACTTGCTAAATATGGCCTTAAACTTGCCCTCCAGCCTCAGCCTCTTTTTGGGCTGTGATTATAGGCATACAACACTATGCCTGGCTTGTTTTATGTTTACTGAGCATCTCTGTAGGGGCACTATGCCAGAAACAACTGTGCCCTTGCATCCCATGGCCAGTCATTGGGGTGAACAGTGTCTGCAGCATTAATCATCATACTCAAGAGTGCATAGGAAGTGCAAGGAAGACAGGGTTAGTCAGATCCTGAGAAGTCAGGGAGTCACTGCTTCCATGATAGGTGGTACAGTGAACCCAGACTTGCAAACCTGGTCCAAGGCTTCAGACTCAAGAATGGAGAGCAAATTCCTGTTGTCTACACCCCAGCTCCTTAAAAGTCAGGAGTTGTGAATAACTAAATGTCTAGATGAGCAAAAATGGTGACAGTAAAATACTTCTGAAGATGCAATGACCAGGAAATCAAATTCAAACACACCAGGATATGAAGTGCTTTTGACCGCTGTTACCCATGTTATGTCTTGGCTCTGAACACACATGTACCCTTTCCATAGTGGGTGCTCTTTACACTGTACCACACCAGTAAACTATGCCTGAAATATCTCAGCTCAGATTCCAGACCATCATACGTTATGAACTGCTCTTAAAGAGACATGGTAATTTTAATTTCAGAAAGCAAAGACTTTCTGTATTTTTCTACATTTTTCACTATTAAGTATCCAAATGGTACATCTTTTGAGAACTGTACCTTAAAATGTTTGACTTTTAAAATTACTGTGAGTTGTTGACTTCAATTTCTTTAAATTTTTTTTTTAAATTTTTGTTTGAGATTAAGAAATTTCTGACAATTTCTGAAATGGCCCTAAACACACTTTTGCTATTATATACCATTTGTACAAAGTGACATTCTCAGCATGGTCTATAAATCAAAATCCCGACTCTGAAAGATGTTGAAGATTCTCTGTGTTCTGCAACAGCAAATATTCAGCCCAGGTTTAATCTTTGTGTAAAAATGAACAAGCATCCATCTCAGCATGCAAATTTGCTCTAATATTTAATAGTAAATTTATAAAATACTAAAAATGATATATAAACAAAATAATTATTTTAAATATTTTTCTTTATCATTTGTTATAAATAAATGTTATTTGTGAACTTTATATATGTATGTATACATACATATTTATATATCCATCTTCTATCTATGTATACCTGAACTTGTGGAAAAAATATCTCTGGTAGTCAAGTATAGTGGCACATGCTTTTGATCAGGAAGCGAAGGGCAGGTGGATCTCTGTGAGTCTTAAGACCAATTTGGTCTACATGGAAAGTTCTAGGTGAGCCAGAGCTACACAGTGAAATCTTGTCTGTAAATAAATAAATAAAATCTCAGGAAAAAAGGTCAAAAGCACAAACATTTTAAGAAGTCCTGGGCGAGACCATGCTATACTTAGTTCCTTATCACCTTATCACCATGAACAAATACAGTAAACAACTAAACTTCACTAAGAACCCATAGTTGTTCCTATTCCAGATTTGTCAATGATGCCCGCCTTTGAGGTACCAGAGTTAAAAATTTTGATAGTGCCCCTCTTTGCCCTTGAGTCTTATATCCTGATGTCACCACCTTGTCCCCAAAGTTTAATATTCACGTTATAGACATTTCTGGATTTCTTCTTTTTTAAAGAAAGTAATTTTAAAAGAATATGTTCTCTGAGATCAATTCTATCTCTCTGTTGTACTTGTTCTCTCTGCTCTCTGGGTTCTTATGGCTTGGTATCCCATGATTCCTGTGTGCTCATGGCTTGGTATCCCATGATTCCTGTGTGCTCATGGCTTGGTATCCCATCGTCCCTGTGTGCTCATGGCTTGGTATCCCATCGTCCCTGTGTGCTCATGGCTTGGTATCCCATCAGGTTCTGTTGGTCTTCTGTCTTGACCTGCTGCCACGTGATTCTCAGCCTCCTCTCTCTACATGAGGGTGGAAGGGTGGGTCTCTATGCATTGCTTTTCTTTTTAAACTTGTACGCCTTCATGTAAATTTCAGACTCACTTTACAGTTTAGGAAGAATTCCTTCCAGGAAAACTTTTGTAAAGTTTCTCTGAGCAAAACAGTTTCCATCTTCATCAGGTCAACTATGCCTGATGGCAAGGGTCCCACACGGCTGGGCCTGTTGACAATTGACATTCCCTCATAGAAGGAAGTGTGTGTGTGGGGGGGGGGTCATCGGATCCACACTTGAGAATTCAGCTGGCCCTTCTGGGAATTTATATCCAGTTCTGTCCTAATTGCTTGACAGGGGTCTTGAGAGGTGCTGGAGTATATGGGGGAGGCAGTTAATTGAGAGGAGCTCCATGTATGAAGCTATGGAAAGCCACCATCCACACTGGGTGCAGATGCTTTGGGTTGACCTATACTGCTGTAAGTAAGCTAAATAAACTCACGGTTCCCCAGGCTGAACTTAGGTTTGCCCCTGGTACATTGGGAGGAGCAGGTAGGTCTTCCCTTCTCCCTCAGGGAGGAGAGCATCCAGACACTGAATTGCTTAGTGTGTAGAGTAAACTGGGAGTTATTAAATCTTCATCATGTTGTGAGAAATAAATTGTTATGGCCTGTTTTCAGTATTCTTAGAGCTCATGAGAGTTACAGATAAAAGGAAGCTATTGGCCCCTCTCCCTTCCAGCTGCTGGCTGGTGCTTGTCCCAGAGAGCTGGGAAGCTGCAGGCAGTCTGCTACATGACTGAGCCCACAATCAGAAAAGGGTGGGCAGACTAAAGCTCTAGGATACTCATTAGATAAGATTTTGTGTCCTGAACCAATAGGATGGGGAATTTGGGGAGGAATGGGATATTCCAGAAGAATGTGACAAGACGGCCAGTCTATGGGTAAAGAGGTCAGGGTTTCTTGTGACGAGAGACTTTAAAAACCATCTCTCAGGCTGGAGAGGGTGCTCACTGGTTAAGATCACTTGCTGCTCTTGCAAGAGGACCTGAGTTTGATCCTTGGGCTCCATGTTGGGGGCTCACAACCACCTGTGATAACTCCAGCTCCAGTTCTAAACTCTTCTGGCTTTCTATGGTACTGTTCGATCTCTCACTCTGTCTTTCTCCCTCTCCTATCTCTCTCTGTCTCTCTCTATGTCTCTCTCTCTCTCTGACACCTTCAAAAACAAAAAACCCAGAGATGAAACCCAAACCAACCACCATCTCATGCCAAATCAGCATGCCAACCTTGGTGGTTTGAGTAAGAGTTGGCTTGTACATGTAAGTGCTTAGTCACTAGGGAGTGGTACTGCTTGAAAGGATTAGGAGGATTAGAAGGAATGTGTCACTGTGGGTGGGCTTTGAGGTTTCAAAAGCTCACACCAGGCCCAGTTTCTCTCTCTGCCTCTCTTGCCTCACTGATTAGGACATAGCTCTCAGCTACTGTGCCAAGTGCCATGACTATTTGGTTCCCATCAGGATGACAATGGACTAAGCCTCTGAAACTGTAGGCAAGTCTCAATTAAATGCTTTTCTTTATAATAGTTGCCTTGGTCACGGTGTCTTTTCACAGCAACAGAACAGTGATTAAGACACTGGCTCTGCCATTTGGCCTGTTTCTCCATGCTAGGCCCTTTCTACAGAATAGTATATTAAAATACCTGCACACTTTCCCCAGTCTCTTTTATTACAAAGTGAGGGTCATATTTCCCAAAACACAGAAGGTTACACAGAAATGTCACATCTTTATGTATTCAAGTAACTCTTTTTTGCCTGCTACCAAAGATGGATAGAAGTCAGGTCTTGAGTGTGTTGGGCAAGCACCCTGCCCCTGGGCCAATCCTCATCCCCAAAATAAATTTTCTGGGCCCAAGAATGGGACATTTCCTGTAAGAACACCTAGATTTGCTCACCTTTCAAGTTCATAGCTCTTAAGCCTCTTTAATGTTCCTTCAGCCGTAGGCCAGCTGGGGAGCCTCGGGAACTCTGTGTTGTTTGATGGGAATTGGTTGCCACAGAGAGGAAGGGGATGGGGAAGACCAGGCAGGCAGGGGTCAGCTCTGGGCTCCATGATCTAGACTCAGGCCCCTAGGAGCTGCAGAGGGCCTTCCTGAGATGCTGGCCATGGTGAGAAGGAGGAATGGAGGCTAGGGCAGCAGAAGGTGGGTGGTAAGAAGCCTCAAGCAGTGACCTCATCTAGGCCCTATTTTGGGGGACACTGGTCTGTGGAAAGGAAGAGAAAGGATGGGGTTAAGGCCTTCACTTGATTGCTTTCAAATAAGTCAGCCCAGAAACCAATTGCAATAGGAAAATGTTGAGTTCCCAAGACTGCACTGCCACCTGCCCTTGGGCCCCCATGATGGCCACACCCTAAGAAGCCTGTGCTCTGATAGAGGCCCATCCCCCACATCCTCAACATGTTTTCTCTTCCAGGCAGCCTTGGGTTTCTCTTAAAACATCCTTCCTGACCTCCTCCTGGCCAATGGCACTGAGCCACTGAACCTGACTCTAGGACTTTGATAATAACTTTAGAACAGTAACATTTTCCTATCCTCTATAGGAAAATTAAACTACAAGACGATGCACCAAAAGTAAAGACACAGAGATTAAGCCATACCCTCTATTGGTTTCATTCCAAGAGACTGCTTGGAGTCCCTTGGAGCCTCTGTTCCTGACAAATGACTCCATCACAGCCTTGTTTGTCCTCTGCTGCTGTCTGCTTAGGTATGCCTGAACCTGTCTTGTTTCACAGACATGGCTGTGTGTTTGCTGATTGATTAAATGATACCCTGAGGGGTGATACAAAAGGGTTGGGTGCTGGGGTCTGGAGACCCTGAGATCTAGACCACACCCAGGCCTCTTCCTGGTTGTGTCCCTCTCCCTCACTCCAGACTGTCTCTGAGCCACACCCATGGCATTAAGTGCCCTCATCACTGTGTCTCAAGGTACTACATGAAGCCTGGCAGGGGAAGCATCTAGCACAAGTCTGGCCAGAAGAACAACATCATGAAGGCTGTTCTTGTGTTGCTATTGCATCGTGGAGTGGATGAGAAAGGGAGGCGCTCCTTTAACAGCTCTTACCAGCCATGTTAAAGACAGGGGCCTTTTGAAGGTGGAACTTCTCCACAATCACCAGGTATTTCCCCAGCCATGCAGGATCTTCAAGCAGTCTTCTGGCTGAAATTAGACAGCCAGCAGTGAGGTTAAGCTCTCCAAGATCTCAGTTCTCCTGCAATAAAAAGGAGGGAGCAGAGCCCAGGCAGGGTACAGAGGCCCTGACCATCAGCCATCTGACACCCATCTCCTGAGTTGCAGGGCATATGTTGGGATTGGTCGGCTCACAGTGCCATCTCCCCAGTTGTCTCCCAGACTCAGCATCTCCCTCCCCTACTGATCATAACAGTCCCTTCACTGTCTTCTAAGAGCATGTCTGGGGCAGCCAGTGTGACCCATTTGGTGGAACACGTGTCCAGTATGCAGAAGCCATGGGTTCTATTCCCAACACAGAAAAAAGAAAAAGTGGCCAGGGTTGGGTCTGATTCTAGCAGTCTAATGCCTCTCTAATAATCAAGTGAGGCTGGCATCCTCCATTTAAGACCCAGAGAGCCCAGCCTCACACCTGCACTCACACCTGTGCTCCCCTGCCCCCCTCGCCCCCCACACTGACCCCTGATCCTTCTCAGAGCTCAAGGCTCTTGGCTATCTTCAGTGAGAGCCAGGACCCTGGATGTGGCTGACCTCACCTACTTCCTCCAGCTGCTTGACATCCCCTCTTAACCCCCAAGGCCCTCCTCCCTGATACTTTCCTTTTGGGGAACCTGAAAGGACCCAGTTACTACTAATCCCTGGACAGCACCAGACTGTAGCAGACACTTGATGCTTGTTGACTGAGGAAGGGTGAGTGGGCACCTGGATGAGGGAATGAGTGCGTGGAAGAGTGCATGGTACCTAAGTACGGTGGGAGACCTGGCTGCAGCTTTGAGCTGCCCACACCCAGAGCAGCATCACGAGACTCCCCTTCTAGACAGAAAGTCTCTGGTCTGTAGTGGGATATTCACTTTGTCTCCTTCTGTGGCACTGACCACGCCCATTGTGGGTGGAGCCAGGGGCGGAAGTGACCTGTGGAACTAGGTCTGAGGAGGAGCTGGGGAATGTTCTCTGGCTGGTGGTATGCGGAGAGGAGAGCATGCTGTAGAACTTGCTGGTGTTCATCTGTCCAGGTTGTAAGTTATTTCTCCCTGAATAAACATATATTTGGCCTATTTGCTTATGTTGATCCTTATTAAACCACAATACTGGTCAAACATGGAAGTGGCCAACACCTACTCCCAAGACCTAGAAACAGCAGCCAGGGCTGGGGAGAGCCGTCACCTACCCAGAAGTGCCCACAAGTTGACGACTTCGTTGTCCTCAAAGCGTACATAAAGAATAAGGCTGTTGTAGTCGGTGCTGACGAAATGGACATGCATGCTGCCACCCTCAACTGTGGAGAACCGGGTATGACACATGATGCTTCTGCCCTTTGTCCCCAGGAAGCCACTTCCCACAGAGAACACAACACTACTGAGAAGATGTGTAGCTGCCCAGAGCTGGTAGCCCCTTCAGGCGTTGGCCTTTGTGAAGGGCATCTGATCTCCCCAGCATAGCACCCAAGTTCCCCATGAAGTACTCACAGGTTCTTTGGTACTGGCCCTGGAGCCCCGTTGGATGGACGGTAACATTTATTCCTGTGCATACCCCGTCTCCTCTAGAAAGGAGAGGAATTTCTATGTATTTCTACTTCAGAGGGTGGCTGGCTCAGGGCAAGGATAAACATGGGAGATGACGCTGGTGAGAGCCCTGAAGTTCTCCCCTGGTTCTCAGATGACTCTGTTTGGGAGCAGTCTTCAATGAAGTTAGACCGATGGAAAGAGGGTGGTAGCCACAGGTTCTGGCCACTGGAAGTAGGGAAAGGTGTCCTACTCATAGTGGATGGATTATGGTCCTGGTCACATGAAACCAGACCTCTCAGAGAGGCTGAGGCCAGACTGTCCTCTGGGAGTTGGGTCTTGGGATCACAGCCCTGACCTGTTTGTTTTTTACTGTCCCTGCTCTATACAGACAAAGCTCATGTTTCATGGGGTCTTAAACTCCTGATAATCCTGCTTCTACTTCACAAATGCTGGGATTAAGGTTATGTGCCGCTAAACTCAGGTAATTCGCCACTTTTAAATAACAAGATTGCATATTAAAGAGCCAGACTAGGGATTCCACCCATGGCCAGACGCTGGACCACATGGTCTGCATCTTGGAGGGCATGTCAGCTGACTATGTGCCCTTTCTACCAGTTCTTTCTCTTAAGCCTGGGGGCATGCACTTTGCAAACCACAACCTTCAGCCTGGCACAGTATCACACCGTCCCTCTGGCCACCCATGGTAACCCCTCAGGGCTCTGGACAAAAGATAAGAGTTACCAAAAGCACTCACTTCTCAAACAGCACAAAGTCCACATCCCCACTGTCTCTGGTCCGAATGGAGTGGAGAGAAAGTCTTAGGGGGTCAGTGGGCAACACCAGGTGTCTGTGGTTCGTGGCCAGCTGGATGGTAAGCCAACGTCCTTCCACCTGTGGGAGTGTAGGCCCGGGGACCAGAGAGAAGGCTAGTTTCGAGCTTCCAGTCTCGATGTACAAATAGTAAAGCTGTAAGCCTGGTTAGTAAATGGGCACATGTTCCCAGAATGTACACTGGCTAACCCCGCCCCTCCAATGTCAGAGAACTTCTAGGGGTCCTGGGTCAAAGTGTAAGCTGTGACTTCCCACTTGGAAATTTTCACCTCTGTCCCCTTCTTCAATGTGCCCCCCTTCCCTCAGTGTCTCCCCGCATCCCTCCTATCTCTGTTCCCCAGACTCATCATGTCTTAGAGCTGCTCCCACTAACCCTCCCAGCCTGGTACTACCCACAGTTCCCACATCTGATTCTGGACACCAAGACCCAGAGAGGGACAGGCAGAAGCAAGCAGGAGCCCAGGACACACTTTGTGCCTCATGTCACCCTGGTGGGTGACATGACCTGTCATCTCAGCTTCTGGCTCTGCTTCCACAGCCAAGGTGCTGCAGACTCCCAGTCTGCTCTTGAACCATCACCTTCAATTACCAGATTTAATTAATGGCCCCTGGGTCTACCAGAGCTCCTGGAAATCTGGGCTACCTAAGCTCACCCGCAGTGTGATACTGTACCTGATCCTTATCCCAGCATGGAGTCTGGGCCTGGCCAACCACTTACCTTATGTGCATCAAAGTCTGGCTGCACTGGCACCTCTTCCAGATTCTTCTGAGCTAGGTCTATGTTAAAGGCCAACAACAGCAGCCAGCCCCTCACCAGGGTCATGGCACCTGGGGCCAAGAGCCGCAGGTCCCAGCACCTCCCCGTCTCTGAGAGCATCCTAAGGAGCTCCTAAGCAGCTGCTGGCTCACCTTGTGTCCTCCCAGCCCTGCACATCCCAATCTTCCCTAGGACTGAAACAAGCTGGGTGCCACGCAAGTCAGTGAGGCAAAAACATGGTGAGCCTGTTTGGGCGGCTTAAGCATGTTGCAAGGCTGTCCCAGGAGTTCAGGGAGAGGCTGGTGGTTAGAAGAAGACCATAGGCATGCCTGCTACTCCCTCAAGCTTAGTCCCTTATCCCCAGATTTGCCATCTTTCTAGTGTGTCCATCCACTAGAGCAGGAGTGGGAGGACTCTCCTACATCTTTGCTCACCTCACACCCAGATAGCTCCTTCCCCGGGTGTGAAGGGGAGCACAGGTACATACACATAGTCTCTCTGGACAGCACGTGAGGAATGTGAGTGTCCTGCCAGTGAGAGCTGTTACTGTACCTGTTTATTTTGAATTCCTCTCACCAACCCTCTCTTGAAGCCTCATGGCCACCCTGCCCCATGGATCCTGGACAGCATGGGGTGGCCATTTTCCTAGTGCCCTCCTTTGCTTTAGAGTCAGACCCCAGGCTTGCTCACTCCCTCTTGATACCACATTTGATAGCTCATGCCAAATGTGGCACCTTCTTCTGCACTCTCTTCCTTCTCTGGCCTTTTTTTCAGGTCTTGGCCTCTTTTGATCTGCAGGGACCTGGCTCAGGGACACCCTGGAGAACTGCACAAAGGGGCCAGCTTTGGGTTTGGTGCAGGAATAGCTTTGTCACTAGGTTACCAGAGATCCAGCTTCCCACTGGGGTTGAGTTAGTTGACATTAGCCAGACATTTACCTGTTCCTTACCTTGAGTTGACTTAGATCCAATGACTTCTAAGGCAGGAAACAGTAATTTGTTGGGGAAGGTCAGAAGAGCAGAAAGGGAGGGCCTGACCTAACCTGCAAGATCTTTCTGTCAATGCATAGCTCCCTTGGGTGAGGTCCTAGCTTCCACTCCTGGCCACAGATACAATGACTCATGATGTGTCCTTCATGTCCTAGATGACAGAAAATCCCTGCCCATGGCTGACCTGGCCTTGGCTATTCCTATAATAAGAACTGGTCCTGGGAAGGGAGGGTGGGCAAGGACTCTAGGAAGATGGCAATGCTGCCTCCTCCCGCTCCTTGGACCATTCAGGTTTGCCTTCTCAGACATACAGAGATTCGTCCTCTCCAGGACTGGTCTGGATAGCTCTGTCTCAGGAATCCAGAATTCCCTGAGGCCCCTTAGAGCCCAGGTGCTACCCTAGGCATGAGATTTCTACCTGGGCATACTGTCCCTGCCCCACCTTATCAGAAGCTAAGTAGATACTACCCCTCCCTGTGGGAGGTCCCTGTGACCTTTGGGTACCGATAAGAAGGCAACCAGAGGCCATTGATGCTGAGTTTATTCATTACATGGGAAAGGGTGGGTCAGAGATGACAGAAGAGTTGATGATCAAAACCACCAAGAGATGGAGGCCATGGACAATGCTGACTCTTGGGCCACACAGGCCTGGACCTGAGGAAGGCAGGTGCCCTGTGGCCGATCTCAGGAACCGTTACAATCTAGGGAAGCACAAGACTCCAGATCAGTGTCTTGAAGTTTCTCTCTGTCCCTTCCTCCCAGGACCAAGCCTCCTCCTTCTATCACTCTGCTGTCCCTATCTCCTGGGCCAAGCTCTCCATAAGGGCCATATTTCCACAAATTCGTCAAGCCCTGAGCCTATATCCCCACCTTGGGGTGCAATTCCTAAAACAATGGTATTAAGGGAACTATGGAGTCTCTCCACACTTTGTACTGTTATGGCGGACATGGTTAATAGGGCTCACTTGGCTTTCTTGGGAATGTGAAGAAGCAGTCTGGGAATCTTAGAGACAGAATTGAGAGGAAAGCCCTCAATTCTCCCTCCTGGAGGCCCCTGGTAAGGGGAGTGATGCTTAGCTTGGCAGAGCCATGAAACAGTATGTGCAGAGTAAGGGTTCTGAGCAAATTACAGGGTGAATGTGACTGGCACAGAAGTGGCTGGGAATATAGTGTGTGCACACACAAAGGATGTGTGCAGAAGTATGTACGCATGTCTCACACACACAAGATGTGTGCTGGGGTACTTGCACATGCACCCCAGAGCCCTAGAGAGGGACTGAGTCTTCCTGGGCCCACCTGATGTTCTAATTCAGGCAGGGCCCCGGGTGCAGCATCCTGCACAAACCCTGGCTGCTACACTCCGGGGTTATACTTTGTAGGAAGTTCCCTGGAAAAGTCTATCTGCCAGAATATGGATGATGAAGACTGGAAGGAGTCTAGTCACCTACTGACCTCAGGAGCTACTTCTTGTTATGGACCAAAGAGGAAGCAGAGGTCAGAGTTCATTACATGAGTCCCCTTCTCCGTCCAGTGCCCCCTCGTCAAATCAGCTAAACCCCACACAGACCTCTCATCCCACCATCCTCTTAACACTGTGGCCTACAGCACAGACTTCCAAAGGAGTCATAGTCATCATGGCCACTGTGGTAGAGTCCCACAGAGAGGAAGTTGTAGGAAGATAGGCTTACGATTCAAGGACACATCCACAATGTTGCCTGGTACAATGCCTCTTCTAGAAGTGTGCATCTTATAGGGCTCCAACCCAAGCTTACGGGCCTGCAGAGTTCTGCCTACAGCCAGCAGGATTGAAAACGTAGTTGAGCAAAGAGACCCATAGTGGGTGTACTTGGGGCAGGGAGATCGGCTCCAGCCCCTAGTCTCCCCACCCTTCCCACCTGCCTCTTCAACTCGAGGTCCTGCCATTCCCTGCAGTCTTGAGGCTGTGGGGAGGAATGGCACCTACCATGGAGCTCAATCACAATGAGGGTATTTCCTTCACTCTGGTTTTCCAAGTCCATGATGGTGAAATCCTCTGTGACAGCCACAAAAGTCAGATAGTTTTTGCCTTGGTCTATGACGAGAAACCAAATGTTCACGAAGCCTCTTGGGGGCCCTGTGTCTCCTGGTAACCAGAGCCTCCCCAGTTGGCACAGCCTGCCTGACTCCACCTCCACATGCTCAACCCACAGTAGTCAGCAGAGCCCAGGGCACAAAGCCAGGAGGCAGCCAATCTCCCACCTCTTCTCCTCTATCAGCCTTTCTCTTGCTCTGCATCCCCCAATTCTCTTCTCCTGTCTCTTGACCTAGGTATCTTTCTGGACCAGAGTGGAGAGGGCACACCCAATGAAGGGGAAGGGCTCAAGAGTCCCTCCCTCTCTCCTCCCCTTGTTTTCTGGACTCCTGGCCCCCCCACCTCGCAACACTGCCTTGTGTTCCTTTAGCCTGAGCAGCATCTGTTCCAAAGGGAAGCCCTTACACAGTTCTCCAGAGCCGCAGCTGGGTGAGGGCTCCTGAGTCCCGCCTCCCTCCCAGCCTCCCTTGCACTGCTTGCCATTTGAAGATGGGTCAGCTCTGTGCTGAGCTCATAGGAAGAGGTCTCAGGACGACTGTGGGGAGCCCTGGGAACCCACAAGAATACAGTTTGGGGCCAGTCTTCTTGGATTTTCGGATTTCTGAAGACATAGTTGCTAGGTCTGTGTGGGTACCATCCCCATCCTTCCTGACCAATCATGTTTACATTGCAGCAGCTTCATCACACCCCACCCAAGACCCCATGATACCCAGGGAGGGAGCAGCAGCTACTTTCACTCACACTCAAAGGTGTAACGTCCAGGGATGCCAGTCTTTTCTGCCACGTAGAATTCCTTCACACACTTTCCATCTTGTCTAAGAGGAAAATAGCCTTCTTGATCCCTGCCTGAGGAGCTGGGTCCTATAGGGTTACTTGGCTCACCCAGAGGGAGCTCTGGATGCTGCCCAGCCTCCAGGGAGCAGCCCAGAGGATCATCAACATCGGGGCCCACTCAGGGCCTGAGCCCTGGAGAGCTGGGGATCTGGGAGAAGGGGAGAGATGGTCCTGCAGAATCCGATTAGGTTAGAGGGCTGAGCTGTCAGGCTACCTGTGGAAGTAGGTGACATTCAGGTTGCCGTTGTCCAGAAGGGCAATGCCAGTCATGAAGCACTGGTAAGCACCTCCTTCCTCAATGACGGATGGGTCAGTGGAGGCCAGATTGAGGGTGTTCCAGTGTCCTGTCACCTGCAGAGTAAGGTTCTATCCTGGCCACTGAGTCCTGGGAAGCCATCTCCCTAGACAGTGGATTACAGCAGGGAGGAGCCAGGCACATCCTGCAGAGGTATAGAGTATGGACCTCACCTCATCTCTTACTGGGTGCCGAGAAGGAGCCTTGGGGACTACATACTCTCTTCCACCCCCACCCCAATCAGACAGGTCAGCACAGTATATCCACAGGCGATTGGACAATGCTGGTAGAATTTGGTGACTCTCTATTCTCCAGGTCCCTGAAGAGGGATGGAGTCCTCTACCCTATAAAGGCCTCAGGGTCTCTGTGCAACAGGACACACAGTAGAGGATCTGGGTACCCTGTCTCTCCTATTTGGTCTCTAAGATCAGGCTCCTCCTGGGGCCTGGCCAGCTGCAGTAGGGCTTTCAAGAGGCTCACACTCTAGGGGACCTGGCAGAGTGTCCCCTGAGCACCTGTTCTCAGGTAGAATGCCACTCCTTTGGTGACTATTGCTGTGAGTTGCTGTCAAAACACTGAAAGGTGATAGAGACCTAGAAAACACTTTGATATAAGGGGCAGCCCCCTACCCTATACAGAGACCTGAAGCATCACCTGCTCAGGGCTGAAGTCCTGCTGCACGGGAACCTGGCTTTGGTCCTGCAGGGTCCAGGCCAGGCCCAGCCCCACAGTCAGCAGCAGTAGACGCTTCATTCCTCTGCTGTGTACTCTTGGGATGAGTGCTCAGGGTATGGGTGCACAGAGGCCCCAGCTGGTTGCATATATACTGTTCAGAGGCAGAAAGTCCTTCTACCCCTCCCTGACCCATAGGAGCCAACACGTTTAGGACAGCATGGAGTTCGGGGGAGGATGCTGTCAGCCCCGGGGCTATAAGATGCTTCTATTGAAAGGTCAGGGTGCAGGCCAGGACTGGAACACTATGTGGCTTGTCTTCTAGACTGAGATGCCTTTGTTAGTAGGTCTGGGATACCTTAGATGTGGCACCTCATTGGCCTGGAGAGATAGCCAAGGGCCGAGCCCTCAAGTCTCAGTAGGTGGCAGCTGGGCTGGGTTCTTCTAGAGAGAGGCCATGGCTTCACTGGACTCTTCAGGCCACCGTGGGGCATGAGGCCTGTGCTCTTGCCCACAGGGTCTTGTTCCCTGCCTTTTAGCCTCTAACCTGAGTGGCTTATTATTGCCTTGGGATCATATGTGGATTTTGACCCTGAGGAAGCTGGGCCAGGTCACTCTGTGACATGGTGGTAGAGTAGTCCAGTCAGCTGTGCTGTGTGTTTAAAAAAGGGTCAGTCCTCATGGTGATCCTACTGCCAACTTCAAGCTATAGCCTTCCTTCTTTGCAAGATGTTCCAGGTTCCAGGAGGTGTCATAGGGTACAGGGGCCAGGGTACAGACATATATAGTGCTGAACCATGGGGAGGACACCCTCACAGTACCCATGGAAAACCCCCTGCTTTCTCAGCCCCAACTCGGGTGTTGGACGGGAAGCCAGGTTATTCAGCCAGTGAGACTAAAAGGATTATGGCTCTGAAGGTCAGCGCCATAATTGATCACACATTTGGAAGGGCTCAAGGCCATTCACTTGGGGGTTGGCAAGGAGAGCTGAGTTCCTAGTCTCTAGGTCGCAGGCCTTTCCCCTTCTTTGATGGAAGAAAGGCCAAGGTGGGTCAGGGACACTCCAGGGGTCTTGGTGGAAAGCCCACTGTGTTCCAGGATGAGACCTGGGGACTCCAGCTCGGTTGTTACTCTGACTTAGGCTTTCTGTCATTCAGCTGCAGCGGCTCAGACCAGGTGGTACATGTGTGTACACAGTATGTTGCGTGTACATGAGTTCATGGTTGTATATATCATGAGTGAGATTATATGTATGTATGTGTGCAGTATGATTATGAGCCTACAACCCTTTACCTGTAAGTGTACTTGCATGTGAGAGTAAGCATGTAATGTGTACACACATGTACACATGCCAACACTTTTCTGCTTGATACATGTTCACACACATGCAATTGCCTTTGTCAGGAAATTTACAATTCTTGGAATGTTGTGGAAATTCCCACAATCACCTTGGGACACCCTGGGATTTGTTCTTAGATCTGCCTTCTCTAGTATCCACTAAAGTATGCTGGAAGCCTGGCAGAGCTGAGCACGGCCCAGGGACAGTGTTGGCTCTAGGAATATAGTGGAAATCTCTGGACTGAACCCACTGAGACAGGATCCAGCAAAAGAGACATGGGGTAGGATGAAACTGTAATATTATGCAGGACCTAGGTGAGGAGAGATGTCACTCTTCAAACCCAAGACACCAATGAGAAGCCTCCAGGCCCTGGGCACATGAGAATCACCTGTAAAATGGCAGCCAGCGAGGTCTATGAAGCCTTCAGAAGCAGCCTCACTAGACAGGATCCAAGGCTATAGTCACCTCCTGCTTCTGAGTGAGGGGAGATGAGGTAAAGGGAGCAGAAGAGCGGTGTCCTAGGGAATGGGCAGCACAGGCAAGGCCCCAGGTCTAGCATGCACTGCCAGGTGGGCCCCCAAGGTGTGAAGTGAGGCTTGGAGAAGGTGCGTGTCAGTCTGTAAGATCCCAGAGACAGGCTGGGCCAGGTCCTTGTGTCCATGTGTCCAAGACAGTGAGAAGCTCTGGGCCTGTTCAAACCACACCCAGAGCCACCTTTCTCCTGTGGCTACCAGGAGCTGTCCAGGTGCATGTCCCAGCCATAGGTTATTATGTGCCTTCTCTCCTGTGTCTGAGCATGAAGTCACATTCAAATCCCCCCATTGAGAAGACTGAAAGACCAGCTCATGGGAGTGTCTGTGGGATAACTAAGCCTCAATGGGCCTGACAGCCAGGCTGGACCAATAGTAAGAGCATGCACAGTAGATCTCTCCTGACAGCCAGGTAGGGTGTGCCAGAGGGCCGTGACAACAGCAGCCGAGTCTGATGAGATGACGTGGACCAGCAGATGCCAGCTCAGTAGATCTCTTCCTCTGGGGTAGGGTGGAGGGTATATAAGACTTACCCCTTCCTGGAATAAACTAAGGCTGTGTCATTGGTGTCCCATCTACTTACTTTCCCCCACCCTTAAGGGACATTCATCGGGACCTGCAACAAGGGCCCTTACCTTGGCCTAGCCCACAGAGTACCACCAGAAACCTCTGCCACTGCCAGCTTCCCAGGCCAGGGGTGGCCCTGTGTCTCAGATGGAATCCCTGTTCTTGTAGATCAGAAGCGTCCTGTGTCTGACGGTTCTAGGATTGGACACTGGTCCTAAAGCAGGTATGGTGGACAGGCAGCTGTAGAGCTATGAGGACCTCTATTGTGGCTGGTTCTTAGCCTCTTAACTGTGAGAGGGATTTTTATGCGTTGTTTGCTGTGCTTACTTTAGTGGATGGCTTAGTGATGGCCAATTTGGGAGACATCTGGCTTACTTCCTGGGGCTCACAGAGATCCCTTGCTGGGTGCCTTCAACAATGTTTTAGACCTTGGAAAGGTGTATGGTTTCTGCCCATGGCATTCTGAGTCTGGCCTAAGTCCTGTTGTTGAGTCATTTTCCATGGTTCTCTTGGCCACACAGAGCCACACACAAGATTGCTGAAGGGCTACTATGAAGCCTGAATCAGGTTTTCATATAAAAGGACTCAGCCTCTTTCTGCCAAATGGCCATCTGAGGACATGAGGGACTAACTTAGAGGCTACAGTGTTAGAATCTAACTCCTATTCAGGCCGCAATACCTTGCAGCAGCCTGTCCTCTCTCAAGATGCCAACAGGCACCCTACATAGACATTATCTGTGTCATTTGCTATCAGAGATCCTGGTGCCAGAATCTCTCACCAGCGGTATTGGTGGACATACATCCTGGTCCCCGCCCTGGTTCTTGTCACTTTAGAGCCCACTGCAGGTGTCTGCAGTTGAGTCAGCTGGGAGGCCATGGGAGACACAGTCAAGTGACCCAGATTCTGGTGTCTGTTGGCTGATACCATGTCTGGCTCACTTGAGAACCCTAGGCCTCCCTCCCTTGGCTCCAGGGCTGTGCTTATAAAGGTGTGAAGTAGTAAGAAGGCCCCAGTGTTTTCCCAGTGCCTGCACCTCAGCTTCAGGTGCAAAGCGGTGACACGTCTCCTGCCCTCATTGTCACTACCTTCTGTGCGTTGGATCTGCTAAGAGGACATGGCCAGAATCTGCCTCTGTCTGTGCCTACCTCTGAAAAAGGCCCAGGGGAATACCCAAGTCCCCCCCAGTCAGAGAATCAGGGGGCAGGGCATGGGGGAAGGGCACTCACAGAGTGTATTTAGAACTGTGGCTTCCCTGTGTAGCTTATCACAAAGCTGGAGGGGAGGGAAGTATTCATACTGGGAAAGGAGTAGTTCCCGGCCAGTGACTATACACCACTTTCCCAAAAACCTATGGAAGAAATGGTTGTACTTAGTACTCCAGACAGGAGAAAGGAAGAAAGAAAGAAAAGGAGGGGGAAGAGAAGAAAGGGAAGAGGATGAAGCTGAATAGAGGTGTTGTTGAATGAATGCTTTTGGCCTGGCAGGTCCCGCTGCCTTCAGTCCCGAATGAACTCAGCGACTTATATTAATTATGAAACTGTTAGCCAGTGGCTTGGGCTTCTTATTGGCTAGCCCTGTCTTAATTATTAACTGATTTCTATTAATTTATGTATTTCCACGTGGTCCTGGCTTACTGGAGAACACCTTGTGCTTCCTCTCTTTCCGGGCTTACGTGGTGACTGACTCTGGCGGGCCTCCTGCCTACCTTTCCCAGAATTCTCCTCCTCTCCTAGTCCCACCTATCTTTCTGCCTCGTTGGCCATTGGCCAAACTGTTTTTTTTTTTTTTTTCTTTCAACAACCAATAAAAGAAATACAGACACAGAAGGAGAACCCCCATCAAGGTGTGACAAAACTGGCCAATACCCAAGCAGCCAGATGATCATAGCTAAGAAAGCAGACCGGAGGTCATGGATGAACTACAGGGAGAGATTATGAATGATGTGTGAGAAAGGGCCTTCCAGGAAAACAGAAAGATTCTGAAAGGATTTTGTTTTAAATCCAAAGACAGATGCAGCAAGATGCCCCTAGCGTTGCCGCTTTCTCCCACGATCAGCAGAGGAGGTCAGCACTGATGAGAAATGTCCATGAAATTGTTCTGTTCTGTTTTGTTTTTTTAACAAGGGTGGACATGGCCCTATCACATTAATCAACATGGGACATTCATTGATCCTAAAACAGGAAAAGGGGGAAGAAAACTACAAGACAGAAGGAACAAAACAGGTGGGGTTCACAATGATGAGCCTGAAGGGTAACTGTGATTGTGTCCACATTTGTCCAACCAGTACTGTCATCTGTCCACCAATCTCTCTGTTTGCCTGTACATCCTTTCACCCACCCACCTAACCATCCATCCACTTGTCTTACCTTACACCCACTCTCCTTCCCATCCATTCATTCACCACCAGCACCCTCCACTGATCACTTTCTCATTCACTAATCCTCCCACTCACCTTCACCCCCACCCACTAAATGACTGATGGAGATCATTATGACTCCGTGGTCACATAAGCATTTTCCCTAATGTGTTTTTACCCATTACTGTTTATAGAGGAGCTTAAAATAGCATAGTTCCTTCCAAACAATTGCCTTGATCTCTGAGGGTTTTAGAACAATTATGTAACTTGTTGTAAAGTTACCATGAATGTGGCTCTGGGGACCCCTAGTCAGTGTTGATAGAAATCTGCACAGTGTCTTCCTAAGACTCCCACACACTGGGCACAAAGGTGTCACACTGTCTCATGGGAGTGACTACCTGGGCACTATATGGAACTCCTTCTCTACCAGAAGAAGTCTATAAAACACAAGAGAGGAGCTGGGCTGCCCTCTGCCTCAAGCTCTGGTCAGGACCACTGAGTTCAGACCAGGGTCTGACCCCAGCACAGCCCACTTTGGATTCATACCTCTTGGCTGGCCTGGTCCTGTGTTGCTCTTTGTCCTGCCAGCCCTCCTTACATGTGCCCATACATTGTCTTCATGGATACTGTGCCCTCTGGCCTTCTGAGTCTGTTTAACTCATGAGGAAGGCCTTGGGGCAGCATCCTATCCTCCCTCACCCACACAGAGACTCTAGCCATCTGCACTGGAGACCTGACCACACTGTTTTGCTTGGACCTTGTGATTAGACAGAGATAACCTGTAGAATTCTTGTCAGAGGGAGACCTCTGTCAGTGTGGGAAGTGCTGCCTCAGGACCTGGAGCCAAGAGCTGCTGTGCTCTGCCCACATCACACCCAGGTCTTGTTCCCACAAGAAACGGAACTCCTCACCAGTCCATCCTCCTAGACCCTCCAACTCTAGGCAGTGTCCTGGCCCTTTCTAGATCCTTACCTTGATTACCAGACAGCATCCCACATCTGTCTACATGTGTGGTTATGTGAGTGTGCATGTGTGTGTCTGTGTGCTTGTACACATCTATGCATCAGTATGCTCACATGTGTGTCTATGCATATATGTTCATGTTCCCATATTTATATGTCTATGTGTGTATGCGTACCTTTGTATGTGCACATGTCTGTCTATACAATTCATCTGTAATGTCAGTTTTCTGAAAACAACAGGTTGATTGTCCAACACTGCAGTGGGGACGCCCTGCCAATGGGGACACTGAGCAAGTCCTCCTCAGGAAAGCCACACAGCTGTATTAACCTTAGCAGTTTGTATTGGAGGCCTGCAGTGTTGTGTAGAGGCCTTGGGATGCTGCTCATCCCCATAAGAGACAATGTACCTGGGACTGGGGAGGTTTGAGCAGGAGGATATGTAGATTACAAGAAAATGCCTGGGTTCACATACCCTCAGAGAGAGAGAGAGAGAGACAGAGAGAGAGAGAGAGAGAGAGAGAGAGAGGAGAGAATGAGAAGAGAGAATGGGAGAGAGGGAAGAGAGAGAGAGAAAAGAGAGATAGAAGAGGGAGGGAGAGAAAAGAGAGAGAGACTTGTGTCTTAACTAGTCCCTCATTATGCTCAGTGCAGTGATATAAGAAACTGAGCTGATGACATCAGAATGGTCTAACAAGGCCACTCCCGGAGCTGGGCCCTTCTCCACAGTAGCTCTTACGTTTGCCAAGCCTGCAGCGCCAGGCCACAACACTGTCCCTACCCACTGAAACAAATTCTGAATGTCCTAGGTGTGTCCTGCTGGGCTTGGGAACCTAGCCCCAGGACTGTGTCCTGGTGTCAGTCCTACCTCAGTCTCCAGGTGGTCCTCACCTCTGGCTTGGAGCCACACCTTGTCATTGTCATGGGCCTCTTACTCATCACATTCACTGCCCCAAACCTGGGCTTTGGGGTGACACATCTACAGAAGGATCCAGAAGGAACAGTCTCGAGCTTCCATGCCTACACCAGACAAGGCTAGGTGCTTCCTTCTCTCCTACCCACCCACCCTCCTTTGAACAGATCACCAAAGGAAAAGAAATACATCCATCCAGGGGGCCACATACAGAGGCAGAGTCACCAGGGACTGCTGAAGCTCTTTATTGAGGAGCACGGGAGGAGGAGGGGGAAAGAATAGGGAAGAGAGAAGTCAGATGGCCCAGCAGGGCACTCTTTCCATGTCCCATGGACAGAGGTTCCGACGGTACTGCCTTGGGCTGCTTTGGAGCCTTGGCTTGCCATGCTCTAGAAAGGAGAGAGAGTCTATGAGGCAAGGAGGGTAGAGTCAGTGAAGTGAAGGGTTATGGTTGTGGGGAATGGAGGGCAGCATCACAGGCTCTCAGAGATACTGGGCTAGCTGAATCAGGAATTCCTTCCTTCTGACTTCCCTCAGAAAAGCTCTGTCAGTGCAGTGGTCACCAGGCGAGGGTGTGATTGACAAGTGGGGGCCGTAAAGGATATAGACATCATGACTCCACCTGTCCCTGGCCTTCTTTACCAAAGTGCCTTCACGTCACGAAGGGAAGGCTCATGGACACAGGAGGGAGCATGCACACCAGCAGGTAGGAAATCCCCAGAGGACTAGAAAGAGGCTGAGATGGACAAGGCATTTGCTGGGTGGGTGGCAACTGGGCAGCTTCACTTGCCTACCACAAACCACACCACCAGCACATCCCACTGATGGGACGAGGACAAAGAGGAAGCCTTTAATGACCTATCTAAAGAAACACAGGATGTTGGGACACAGAGACTGGAATTCCTACTGCAACTGAGGGCTTCTGGGTGATTCTTGAGGCCCCATTGAATCCCAAAGCTCTCGTTGGCTTCAAGGGTCACTTACCTTATTAACTCTCTGGCTCACATTTTTCTGCAAACAACAAAGCAGAAAACCCACAGATGAGAATGAGTCCTGGACAAGAGCCAGTCATATCTACGGCTCATATCCTCCCATGACCAAGTCCTACAGCAGGACCTGAAGTGTCCACACTGGGGACAGGGGACATAGGAGTGACAGAGTTACAGGTGACCCGGGAGATAAAGAGGGGATATGAGTTGTGTGTGTTCTCACCCATCTGCTCAGGTATGACTAGGCTCTCTGGTATAAGTCCTTTCTTCTGTGTGAACTCCTTAAATTCTTCCAAGGCCTCCAGGTTTTCCTTCAGGTCCCTCCCTGTGAAAGAGGGACAGGTGAGTAGAGGGAGGTGTCCCCACAGCTTTGCAGGGATCCAATGCCACAGACAAGAGCACTGCCTGGCACCACGGGCTTCACCATGGGATAGCCAATGGCAGGAGAAGAGGAGGTGTGAACTGTTGACCCTGGAAACCCCATGACCCAGGGGCACTGAGATGAGAAGGCTCCTGTCAGGATACCACTGTCCTCACGTAAACCATGCCTGACACCTCAAAGCCTGGCAAAGCAGAAGGCATAGCTGCCTCTGTCGTCCCTACTGGACCTATATATAAGTCACTACAGCGAAGCTCAGCAAGGTGGGCCCAGTCAGCCAGTGGCATTGTGCCCTGGTATCACTGCCCATGAGAGGGATGCTGCTGCTTTCATGTGTGGGAGCTGCTCCCAGAGAATCCTCTGCTCTGAAGAAGAGGAACAGTGGGGCTAGGCATGGCTGTGTTAGGCTTGGGTAGCTGGGAACTTACCTATGAGCTGGGTCATTGTGAAGCTCATGCCCTCCAGCACCCCATCACAGTAGAGCATCCAATAGCCCTTCACAGAAGACAGCTGCACCTGTATGTGGCTCTTACCCTCAACTGTGGAGGCCCCGGAAAGAACAAGGTTAGCTCCATCCTGCAAACAGTCACGTGGCTTCCTCTTCTGACTGCCACCCCAGCCTCCAGTCACAGAAGCCCCAGTCATCTAAGTGCCTATCCTGGCCTGAGTGTGAAGGACTGAGGTTCCCAGGACTCATCTGTGGTGCCTCCTAGGGGTGGGACTTGCCAGGAAACACTCCCTTCCATGGGCTGCCAGTCACCCATCCCTGGGCTGATGACACTCACAGGCATTGTAATGGCCAGGCACATCTGTTTTCTCCAAGATGGTGGTCACTTCAAAACACTGGCCATAGACCCTGGAATCAGAAACTATATTCAGTGGTGGTACATGCCTTTAACCTCAGCCACTTGGGAGGCAGAGGCAGGCAGATATAAGTGAATTTGAGGCCAACCTGGTCTATAAAGTAAGTCCCAGGACAGCCAGGGCTACACAAAGAAACCCTCCCTCAAAATAAACAAAATAAAACAAACAAACAAAAACTGATCCTCACGCTGACTGGGATCCACCCTCCTCATTCAGCCCTTAAAGTTCTTCTTTCCAAGTCAGAGGGATTTTTTAAAAACTACCCATTAAGAAGTTATGGGTCAGGTAAGAGAGCAACCAACCATGGGAGCCACCCACACTCACACATGTGTTATAGTAAACTCCATGTCACCATTGTCCAGCACCAACACCAGCATGGGAGAGAACTTCTTTATTGGGATCTCCTCTTTCATCACCAAGGCCCTCAGGAACCACTTCCCAGAAAACTAAAAGATGAAAGTCCTCTTTGTCTGATGCCTGCTCACCCTCCTGGTAGGATATGTACCTTTCAACTACCACTCATTTCTGACTAACCCATCCCACCACCAAAACATAGACTGCCCACATGATGGAGACTGCTTACACCTAGGGTACCAGGGTCTTCTTCTGGCACGTTTTCTCAATTTCCACTCCTGAGCCCAGGGAGGCCTTAACATGCACTGGGATTCCTTGACTCTGAATTGATTTACTCTCTTTGGTTATAACCTGTGACGAGGGTCAAACTGGGATCCTTCCTGAATGCAGAGCCCTAGTCATCCTGTACTATTAAAGCCGAGATGCCTCCCTCTGCCCAACTCTGACTCACATGCCTGCTATCCAAATCAAGGGTCAAGGAGTCCTGGGCCTGCAGGGCAGCAACTAAGCAGAAGCTGACGGTTAGGAACAGAGGCTTCATCTCCAGGGTGTGCGTTCACAGACAACCAACAGGTCACTGGAGCTGGAGAGGCTGTCCCAGCCCCTCACTCAACTGCCCTTTATATAACCCCATGCAGGGTTCTTGGGGAACTTGGCACAAAGGACCAGGTCCTTCTAAGGTGTGTCCACAGCCAGCTGGCAAGGGGAATGTCAGTGTTTATATAACAGCTTGATAAGACTTCAAGACATCAACAGGCCACAGGGTTTTCCAAAGTGTCAGCCACTGTTTGGAGTCCAGAGAAGCTGAGGGAGAATTAGGGACTGGGAGGAAAGGCCACGTGACAAGCCTCCACACTGTCTGCGGTTCATGGGGACAAAATTAGAAGAGTCATATGTTTCTTCCCAATCCTCCTCAGATCACCTCAGATCTGAGTCTAGAGAATTGCAAGGCCCAGCCAGCAGTTATTGGGGAGTTCAGAATAGCCAGACAGCAGATTTCAGACCCACTCCACCCTGATGCACCAACTCAGCCCCGTGAGCCCTGAACCTGCCGTTCTGTTGGGAACTTTGCCCCTGTGTGTCCTATAGGGTCCAGCTTTTTGACTCAGGGCTCAGCCTGGCTACTGAGGCATCTTTCTAGATACACTCTCCATGCCCTCCCCTCGCTGGCCTTCTCTTCCTCAGAGCACTGGCAGGGGCTGCCTGGGGCTGCTGCCACAAACCACCTCCAAACAGGTCTCCAGCACCTCACTTCTGTTCCCCTCAGAACAGAACTCCCCAACGAGGCTGAGTGAGAAGACTGGGCCAGAGCCACATTGCCAAGACTCTGGGAAGACTCCTGGATGATTGACAGCTCCCATGCCTCTCTGTCTGTGGTTTCCTCACCCAGGTTCTGCCTGTCTTCACCCTAGTCTCTCCTCAGTCCCGAATGCCCCCCTCTGACTACCTGTGACAAGGACTCCTGTCAGTGGATTTAGGCCACCCTAATACTTGATGACTTCATTTGAGGTTTTAATCACCACAGCAAGGCCCCATTGTCCAAAAGAGCTCACAGTCACTTGTCACTGAATCACACGGCTTATAAGGCTGCAAGTCAGCCCTTCAGCACCTGGCCCACTCTTGACATGTCTCGGTGGTTTCTCCTTATCCTTGCAGGTTAGTAGAGCTGGTAGAAACTGAGAGAGGAGACCAGGCCAGAGTCTCCACAGCACCCAGAAGGGCTGTGGCTACTCTCATCTTGTCCTGACCCTTTTAGTCATATAATTCCCCATGCCCAAGATTGTTCCTAACATGTGTCTTCAGCACAAATGAGTCAAACCTTCAGTCACCAAGGTAGCTTTAGGTGGCATTCGCTGTATGACCTCTCCTGCTCTTCAACAAGAGAAGCCATGTTGGCTTAACTTGGACCATGGAGGCTTCTAGCTTGGTTGTCTGTCCTGGGACCTCCGACTGACCCAGCATCCAGCAGCAGATGCAGTGCCTTCCCAGTGTTGTCTTTCTGCCCCTAGGACCAGGGCTTGCTCTTCACAGGCTCTCACTGACCTTGGGGGACAGAATACAAGGTGGTAGCTTAACCTAGTCATTATCCTCTACAAAGCTCAGCTGGGCAGCCCCTGCCTGCCCTTCCAGCTAGGAAGGCACAGGGCCAGCACCTGTCAGATCAGGAACCAAGAGGCAGGTCCCCGCCTGAACGGACCTGACATCCCTTCTGTGTTGACCTTCTCCTGGTGACCTTCTACCTACTGCCAGAACTTGAGAGTACAAGTGTTCTGGATCCCTGAAAGCCCCCCATGGCTGCCTAACACTCATGAGCCAAAATAATCACGGACATCTGAGGGAACCAAGATGTACTTGTATTCATTGCTCAGTGTCAGTGTGATGGAGGCTTGGGTTATATCTCAGCCGGTCACAGATAGTGAAGGCAAGAACACTGGAAAAGTATAGAGTTTTATCCCCTATTAACCCCATCCTTTAAAGTCCAGAAAGAAAGCAGCTTCTGGAGCAAAAGGGAGATTCTGAGTGGTGTGGGACTGACAGCACAGATCCCTGGTGGGTCTAGAGTCCTCTTTTGGATGGTGGCCTTCGTGGGCTGCTCCTGGCAGATAGGTATTGTTTGAATCACTACTAACGTTAACGGTAAATTACTAATATGAGCGTTCCTTCTGGTGTTAATTTTCCTGTGAAAGAGTTGGGGTGGTGACGTGACTCCCTAATTGACAGCTGTTAGACTCTTCCCTGCTATCCTGGCTGCCTTGAACAAAGGACTTTCAATCAAGCAGCCAGCCAGATGACCCTTATGCCAGCCGCAGATATCTTGAGGAAACCGTCTAACTATTGCAGCTGCCTGCTGCTAAAATACAACTCTGGCTCCTGAGGCCCCCTGCTATTCCTGTTTGAAAACAGTCTATGCCAGACTTTCCTCCAACCATGTCCATCCCAGCCCGAGGAAGAGCAGCTTTGCTGGTGGCCTAGGATAGGGAGAGTTATAGTCGGTACAGAGGGACAGTACCCTGCCTAGGACAAATACAAACCTTCATGTGCATGGATGTTTGCTATGAAGGTACAACACCCTTCTTCTAGATATATTGGCCGATTGTTGTGCTCCCTTCATGAACTATTAAGTCCCTTGCTGTGCTGCCATGCTGTGCCTGCTGTCTTATGTTTCAACATTAAGTCCAATAAAAGACTTCTTGGGGGGTTGACAGGATGACTCATCAGACCTGGCAGCCAGAATTTGATCCTTGGGAGACACATGGGAGGTAAGAGCTAACTTCTGGAAGTCCTCTAACCTCCACAGGTATGTCATGGCACATGCACACACCCCTGTGTGCTCATTATAATGTAATATGCCAATCTGTCTACTTAGCAAGCCCCAGGCCAGTGACAGGCTTTGTCTCAAACAGAAGATGGAGGGCACCTAAGGAATGGCACCCAAGTCTGTCCTCTGCCTCGCCCCACAAAGACACACACACACTCACAGACACACATATACATTCCCACACAGAGATAAACACACTCATCAACACACATACACAGACACTCTCACACACTCACACTCTCACACACACACATATATATACACTCGCGAAGAGAGAGAGAGACATACACACACAAAGGAATAAGACTTTTTAGGTGGTGCGCTCCTGCCTACCTTCATTACCCTTCACTAGCAGAGTAGATGATCTGGAGAAGAAAGGAAGAAAGACAGTTGCTACATACTGGCTGAACTGTCACTGAGCAGCAGCAGAGAGGCGGGGAAAACAGCTGGAGACAACAGCCACACTCAGGACATTCGTGATGACAGCAGGAGCCAAGTTAAAAAAAAAAAAAAAAAAAAAAAAAAAAAACGCAGTGCTGCTGCCACCCCAATGAAGGCATTGGGTGCAAGAAAAATTCTGAGTACGGCCAGGCTTTAAAGGCCAAGGGTCTCAGGTATCCAGGGCTATAACACTCACCACTGTCAATAGATGGGGAACTCCACCTTTCTGGGCCTACCCAGAGCAGTCACACATTGATAAGGGTCCCAGTAGCCAAGGCAGCATGAGAGCTATAAAACGGGACAGTGCCACTTGCTCCTGATCCCAGCCACCTGCTGCTTCCATACACTGCTATCTGCAGCTGAGAAATATAAAAGTTACTCAAGATCTACAACTTCTATCTATACAAAGCAAAAGAACCCCAGCCAGGTGACTGGTAAGATCACCAGACCCAGGGGCAACCTGGGCAGCACCGACCTCAAGGAGGATTCCTGGATACCTGGAAGTCAGGCACAGATATTGAGATGAAGGAAGCGAAAGGATATGACTCACACAAACACAGCCTGCCAGTCTGTGGCCCAGAGATCATCTCAGCATCCCTTGTCCTAGTAGGATACAGTGGTCTGCTACCAGGGTTCTCAGGATCCCATGATCTCAGCTCCCTCCAAACCCCTCTAGGATGAAGGTTTCCTGAACTGAATCTTCTAAATGATGGCTATAGTTTGCCCACAGGACAGGATTCCTCTTGCTGTGAAAAGACCATCGGCAATGCAGCGGCTCCAGAAACCACACAGAGACATCATCTCAGCCTCCTGCTGACACACAGAACCATCTTTCTCTACAGCCTGGCAGATGTCCAGGCATATTATAACATGAGTTGTATTATGCACTTTTAAAATATAAAATAAGTTGGTACTGTGTATGAATAGTTATCATGGCTAAAAATCCCAACATTTGTGGAGAAGTCCCACAGTGACTCGGTTTCGTTCACTATTGGTGATAAAGGGTAGTTTAATATTTTCAGTGTCATACTAACTTTGCATTGATTGCAGTTATGAAACACATCTACCTACAATATTTTATTTGCTTCTATTTTTTTTCAAGACAGGGTTTCTCTGTATAGCTCCCGTTGTCCTGGAACTCACTCTGTAGAACAGGCTGACCTCGAACTTACAGAGATCTGTCTGCCTCTGCCTTCCTGAGTGTTGGGATTAAAGGTGTGTACCTGATGGGGAATGTCCTCCTATATATAGGATTCTATTATTGGTTGATGAATAGAACACTGAGTCGGGCATTGGTGTCGCACACCTTCAATCCCAGCACTTGGGAGGCAGAGGCAGGCAGATCTCTGTGAGTTCAAGTCTAGCCTGGTCTACAAAACTCATTCCAGGACAGGCTGCAAAGCAATACAGAGAAACCCTGTCTCAAAAAAAAAAAAAAAAAGAAAGAAAGCACTGTTTGGCCAACAGAAGCAGGGAGATAAGCAGGACTAGGAGATGTGGAGAATTCTGGGAAAGGTAGGCAAAGAGGGACAGAGAGGGGTTGCCATGTAGAGGATAGGAAGTGCCAGGTGTTCTCTGGTAAGATAAAGCCATGTAGAAATACATAAATTAGTAGTTATGGGTTAATAATTAAGACAGAGCTAGCCAATAAAAAGCCCTAGTTATTGGCCAACAGTTTTATAATTAATATAAGTTTCTGAGTATGTTTTGGGGGGGGGGGCTGAAAGATGGCTGTGGGACCAGGCTGGAAAGAATCTCCAGCAACATGTGCCACCACTGCCCTGCTAAAAATAAGTGATGTCCTTTTTTTTTTTTTTCCTCAAATAAGATTTCTCTATGTAGTCCTGGCTGTCCTGGAACTCACTCTGAAGATCAGGCTGACCTCAAACTCAGAGATCCACTTGATTCTGTGTGTCACCACCACCCAGCTCAGTGTGTGTGTGTGTGTGTGTGTGTGTGTGTGTGTGTGTGTGTGTGTGTTTTGGTTTTTTGGTTTTTGATTTTTTTTTTCAGGAGAGAGTTCAAATGCAGCCCCCTACTTCACAAATTATGCAGTCAAGTTCAAGTTCCCTGCAGTTAGGGAAATCTCGGGGGTCAGCATGTCTGTAGTGCAATGGATAAAGCTTGCCCTGGAAAATATACCTTCATGATCACAGTATCTCCCCTGCCAGGTAAGTATGTTTCCTTTTTTAAAGAAAGATTTATTTTTAATTATGTGTGCATCTGTGTGGAGGTCCTCAGAGACCAGAAGAGAGTATCATATCCCTTGAAGCTAGAGTTACCTGTGGTTGTGAGTTGCCGAATGTGGGAGGTAGGAACAGTACAGGCTCTTGACCATTGAGTCAGTTCTATGGGCCCCTTCACTGTGTTCTGCATTCAACAAACTGGGACTTCACTTGTGCTTAGACTTTATGGACTGCTTTGGGTCTACACCACAGGGAAAACTGTCCTGAAGGGTTTTTAATACCACTAATGTCCTTATCAGGCTTTCTTTTGGGGTTATTCTGGCCTCATTAAAAAGCAAAACAAGTTTCTTCAATTTAGACATTTACTTTTGAACTATGAAAGCCTTAGTATAATCTCTTCCTCGGTTGAGTTTACCAGATACCTTAATTAGTGTGAAGATTTTTAATATAAGTGTTTTGTTTTGTTGAGACAGGGTCTCACCCTACATCTCAGGCTGGCCTTGAACTTGTGGTGACAGTCCTGCCTCAGCCTCCCACATGCGGGCATTATAGGCAGTAGCCATGATGCCTGGCTACACTCTGACATGTACAGGGCCATGGAGACACTGCTTTCCTTCCTGTGTCAACACTGGCTCTTCTAAGGAATCTGTGTGTCTTGTGTAGCTTGTCAGATGAGTTTCATAAGGTTGATCACAATCTTGTCTTATTCTGTTAGCATGTAATGCGATGCTAGCACCGGAATGATGCCTTCCTTTTTAAAAACTGATGTCACTATTTGTAATTTCCTTATCCTTGGTCAGTTTGTACAATTCTGTAAATATTTGATTCTCCTTTTGTTATCAGCTGTTTATTTGCTTGGCTTTCTTCTAACATCTTGCATGTAATGTTTTAAAGGTATCATGAGATGGAACTTGAGAATGTAGATTTGAGTCTGCCTTCTTTTCTGCTACAGTCTTTGCAGCCACAAGAGTCTGTATCAGCTCTGACCGCTGCACCTCACAAAGTTTCCTAGGCTGGACTGAAAATTCACAGGGCTGGCATCAAAGAGATTAGCATCATCTCTACCAGCCAACAGATAGGGTAGTTCTGTTACTAGGTGAATTGCATAGATTGAGTCTTCAGTGTCAAACTAACCTTGCATTCTGGAGATAACCTCACTCCTATAACAAGTTCATATTTCACTCCCAAATCTCCCTCCTGCTTTCCCTTTATGGTCCCCTCATCCCCATCTCATAGCATTTGGATCCAGAGGTCTTGCCTCATCCTCTCTGTAAGTATCTATGGAATATTACAGATAAAATACCATTGCATGTGACCTCTCTGGACTGAGAAAGTTCATTCACTGTGATGCCCCTGAGAGCAATCCACATGTTGCCTCTGCCAGCAAACTGGTCCTTTCAGTGCTGGCTAGTACTTCACTGTGTGGACACACCATAGTTTGCCCATCATTTCTACTTCTAGATCATTATAAAGTAAACTTACCTGTAAGCTTTAGTATTAACCTTTGTTTGCATATTTCCAAATATACATAAAAAAATTGCTAGACCATATGCTCAGTATATATGCCAACATAAGGACTTGCAAATTGTTTTCCAAAATATATCTACACTCTTCAGTGTCCTTCAAAGTTGCACATGAGTTGCTGTTATCTAACAATGCATAGCTATTGTCTTGGGCATGTGGCAACTGCCTTTCTCTGCTGCTTGGGACATTCCCATGTGCTTGTGAACTTGGCTGCCACCCACACATTTTCCTTGGCCATGTCTGTTCAAGAACTTTGTTCATGTTCACTGGGTGGTTTGCTTTCCTGATGTTAAGAACTAAGGTTTCTTCCCTGACGCTAATGTTGTTCCTGTAATTTGAAATGCTTTTTCATTGCTTAGTTTGTTTTTCTGTTCAGTTGACTGTGTCCTACATAACTGTTCTCTCTGTGAGGAAGTCAACCCACTAATTTCCCTTCACAAGATTATTCCTTGCTGGCAAATCTCAGAACTGCTTTACTACCCAGGTCATGACAATCATTTCTTTGTTTTCGTCTCATTGCTTTGAGATCAGCAGGAAGTTGAGGACCACAATCCTGTCAGAGTTGACTCTGTGGGGAACACCCAGGCCTTTGTCAAGGTCTGCCTATCTGCCTGTGGTTGGCAGTTGATCTGGTGCCATGGATCAGAAGGGTGATCTTGTCTCTGGAGACTGCTTTTGTACCTTTGTCAGAAACTAAATTGCATTTGATAAAAGGTATTTTAATGAGTGCTAGCATTGTGAGCACCTGGGACTTGGCCCACCTGAGGACCCTTTTAGTCACAGGCTGGAACATTTCATGTTATCTCAATGGGGAGGAAAAGCCCAGACCTATTATCCTGTCAGTTTCCATCACTGCTGACAATGTGTTAGTCAGTTTCTTGTCATCTCCTTAAACACTAGAAAGGAGAAAGGAGTTATTTGGCTCCTGGTTTCAGAGGTTCTGCCCACAACTGTTTGGTATCATAGCTGAGGGCCTGTGGTGAGTCAGAGCATTACAGCAAAGGTTAGGTGGAACAGCTGGCCATCTCATGGTGTCAAGGAAGCAGAGAGAAGGTCAGGAGGTCTGGATGAAATTTAGTTGAAGGAGGAGTTCACAGTGACCAATTTCTATTAGCCTAGGCCTTGGTCAGCAGAGCCTCCCAAAATAGGGCCTCCAGCAGGGACCAAGCTTTCAACACCCTGACCTGTGGGGGAGACTTCAACCCATCCATGACAGTGTGGTTATCAACCTGACACCTGCTCTTCAAGGCTGTGGGTCTGAGAAACACAAAAGGGAGGTGCAGGCACGTGACTGGGTGTCAGGGTGTTAGCAAGTGTCTATCACAGCTTCAGGGGACTCTGCATTGGCTATCAGCACTGTTCAGCCACAGCCTACCGTGGCTCTGACTCATTAGGCTTCAGATTGGGTGCACAACTGGGCTTTGAGGATGGTGGAGACACAGTCTCTGAAACAGAGACGGTCATAGAGACAAGGGATTGCTTTGTCCTTGTTGATGTTCACCTGTCTCATGCTTTCTAGATGTGTCTCAGCTCTAGCCAGCTGCCTCCCGCTTTAGTGCTGTGGTGGGAGTCATCAAGATCTCTTGTAACACCATGTGAAGCCCAGACACTGGCTCTCCAGTGAGTAGCTAGCAGTGCCGTGAAGCTTGAACCTCATTGAGAATCAGAGGCAAGGCTGGAGAGGAAGGTGACCAGAACCAGGCAACCTTACAGCAACTACCGCCAGAAAGCAATGGAATACCCAAGGGAAATACTTCAGGCCATGCAGCATTAGGGATGGGAAGCTTTTCTGTCTTTCTTTGCCATCTCCCAATGATGGCTTTGGCATCTGTACTGCTATGTCCTGGGAGCATCTGCCCTCAGTAGAATATAACCTCAAGTCCCAGATCCTGTCCACTATGGGCTGCCTCATGTGCTGTCATACCTAGAGTTCAATACTATGAGCCATACATACTACCTCCTCCTGGCATAGCAGCTATTACCTTCATGAGAGCGACCTTAGCCACTTGCAAGAGACTCTCACCATCCAGCCTGTTGGCTGTTAATGTTTAGTCATAGAAGGAGGTGTTGGGAGTGTTATTGGCTCCCCACCTGGGTTTCTAGTCATTCTCTCCTGTACCTCCCATCCCCCTGAAGCTAATTCTGACCCAATTACATGTGGTCTCCTGATCTCAGGAGGTTCGAGAGTATATAGACTGTGAAGGGTTTATTTGAAAAGGGATGGAGAAGTCATCATCCATGCTGGGTGAGGTTGTTAAGTGGCAGGGATGCTTTATGATCACACAGGCTCTGTAAATAAGCCCAATAAACTCATTGGTTTTCCAAGCTGGAAATCGGTGGAGTCATAGTTTGGTTTGTCGTTGGTGCCCATTTGACAGGGGAGATATTTGATAATGTCTCCCCCAGGAAAATGTTCATGCAAACTACCTGTTCATGTTAGTGTCTGTTGCCACTTTAACTTGAGTACTACCTGATAACAGTGGGAGAACGAGGATAATTCAGACACTGGGACAGAGCAAGGGAAGTGTACAATGGCAGGCATCTGCAGGGTTCCACTGGCATTCGGAGCAGTGTTGGTGTCCAGCCGTGTATGTGTTGTTCCCTGCTGTCTCAGGTACTGAAACACATGTACCTATGTGGTAAGGTGATTAAATAAATGATTCATACATGCAAGCAGAAGAACACATGTCAGACACAATGAGGACCCTCCAATGACATGGAAATGCTAGCCTGGGTCCTGATCTCTGAACACAGGGACCCGCGGCCTCTCACCCAGGTAGTATCTGCTTCCTTCTCAGCAGCGGTTTCCATGTTGGGGACTAAGGGCTGGTTCATGCTGGTGCCTTCGTATAACCTCAGGACCTGTCAGAGGAAATTCAGTAATATCATTTATAGACTCGGAGCTGCCTAATCCTGGTCCAAAGAAACACAAAGATGCTACTGTTGGTCCAGAACATGTCTACAGGAACTAAGTCAGTTGAGTGTCAGGGAGGATGGCTGAACCCAGGAGCTGAAGGATCAGGAGTTAAAAAAAAAAAAAAAAAAAAAAACATAATTCCTGCTGGTGAGGTAGCTGGGCTGTGGCAGGCCCAGAAGGAGAGAGAGGGAAAGACAGAGAGCAGAGAGAACAGCTATAATGAACTCTGAACACATTTGGTGCTGTGTGACCAAGGGAAAGAGATCTGGCCATGCTGAGAGCCTGTAGTGCTCAGAGCTAATGAGGAGAAAGCTGTGGACTCCAGAGGAACCAAGTTCAGCAGCAGCACAGGGGTGGGTTCAGGACAGGCAGTGATGGATGCTGGTTCTTCATCGCACCTCAGGGCACAAGATGGCAAGAAATGAACACACATGGACCTCAGTTGTACCAGGGCAGCCCTGGCTCTGAAAATGCCCTCTCAGCAGGTCCTCAGATGACAAGAACAGCAGAAGGTTAAGTCCCTTAGTTGGAGATGAATCCCCCTGGGGACACGGAGCCGAAGCCCCCTTCACAGATCCCTTCAGGATCTGTGTGGCTGGAAATGTTCATGCAGCCAACTTAAAATTGTGAACTATGGAAATTGTATGGTAACTGGTGGTTGAGTAGATGGGCACTGGTCAGTCAGAGAAAAAGGACCAAGACATCTGAGAGTAAGAAGTGGTCTTCAGAGGGCACAGCTGGCCTCAGTGCAGAATGAAGGGGGTCAGGGTCATGGTGCGCCTAGTGTGGCATGGGGTCTACCCTGATGATGTTTAAGCTGACTAGAGTCAGGAGTTTGTGTCCCCACTTACAGGAAGGTCCAGGTGGGGATTCCGTGCAGGGATAGGACAATGAAGAGGGCTCCGTCCAGGCAGGGCCCAAGCCATCTGGGAGCTAGCTTACATTCTCTGGGGGTGAAGCCCAGCCCTGTTCTGAGCAGCAGGAGGTCAGAAGCCAGGTCTCAGGGGATGTAGCTCAGGGAAGCCATGGCAGATGGAGGGCAGGGATGGGAAGAGTACCCTGGCTCTCTCTTCCTGCCCAATCTCGCTGCACCCGAGTCACTCGCCTTCTGCAGGGTTCTTTGTGAGCACAACTCTTGGTGACACAGACATTGCAGGGCATTGTGTGTCTTTCTTCATTTGTAGGTGACATTGAGCTGATATTCATCAGATCCCAACAACAACAACCTTCCACCTCCATGATGGATGTAGATTTGGCCATGATAGAAGGACAGGAGGGACGTGGCCAGTGCCAAGTGGGCACACATCCCTGGCCATGGGGGATATAAAGGGCACCCTGTGAGGCGCCAGAGCAGACATTCTCCAGGTGACCTGCCTTGTGTGAGAGCCCAGCGACTGATGATGAAGAGCCTGCTCCTGACCTTCTTGCTGCTGGGGCTGGTGGCTGTGCTGAAGGCCCAGGAAGTTTTATCTGATTACCAGGAGGAGGTGAGGAGGAAAGGGTGGAGGTAGGAGGAAGGCTCAACCCTGGTCAGTGATGGTAGACTTGTGCAAGCTGTGTCCTTGAAGACCGAAGGCCATCCTTGCACCACAGCATAAGATGGTGAGATCAGGGACTCTCCACTGTTTACCAGCAGGGAGAGGCTCTCCGGGCCTGGAGTAGGGCAGTGAGTTTTGGCCATCGGTCTTTGTTGATGAAACACAGGGTTCCAGAAGGCTTCATTGGGTGGGATCTTCAGCACTGAGGCCTTATCCAGTGCTGAATTCCTGACCTCTAAGAATGTGTACTTAGAAGGCAGACAGCCTCTGCCTTCACTGGGCCAGAGCCCAAGTATTGGACTCTCTCTACAGTGGGCATGTGTGGGGATGTGTGAGCCCTCTTCAGAACCACAGCCCGGGCCCTGGAATATCTGTTAAGGCTGCAGGATCAGATTTGGAGTCTGGGGAGAATAAGAGTCAGGCTGGTGTATGCTCAGGGCTCTGTGTTCTGCAGCTTTCTGGGACATGGTACATAAAGGCCATGGTATGTGATAAGAACCACACAGACAGGAAGGGCCCCAAGAAAGTGTTCCCGATGATGGTGACAGCTCTGGAAGGAGGGGACTTGGAGGTGGAGATAACATTCTGGTGAGTACCTCACCAAGTCTCTGCAGTTGTCTTTCTGTTCTCCATTCTTATTTTGGTGTGGGTGTTAGAATGCCCCTGCCTTTGAGGGAGACATGGTGCAGGACAGTACTCTAAATCTTGGGCCTGGCTGATGTGAAACTTTGGGGTCACCTGGTGTTGATTCACCTGGTGAGCTGAGCATGGCTCCTCTTTTACAGGAAGACGAATCAGTGTCACAAGAAGAAAATTGTGATGCACAAAACTGATGAGCCTGGCAAATACACTACCTGTGAGTCCCCCGTGGGCCAGGGTTTTGCAGGAGTAAGTTCCTGCATAGAGGGTTCCTGCCTTGTTCAGCTCCCAGTATGCTCATCCACTCACATTCCATGTACTACACATAGAGGTCATTGGTTAGTCCATCCCAGGTACTGACTGATGTGTTCTGTCCCACCCCTCCATCTTAGCTCTGAACCCAATGCTAAGTACAGGAAAGAAGGACAGGGAAGTGCTCAGGCCTTGGGCCAACCTCAGCCCTCACCTCCTCTGGCCCCTCAGCAGGGCCTGACAATGTTGTGGGAGATGGCCTTTGTCTGATTGTGGAGATCACAGAAAGACTAGAGCTACACTGGCTGGGTCTCCTGGATGACCACAATTGTTTGAGAGCATTCCTTTGAAAAACCTCCAAAGGTTTTTCAAGAAGTGAAATGCTAAGAGACATTTCTCTGTTCATGTAAAGTCAAGGGAAAGATGGTGTTATATATTCAGGAACTGCCTGTGAAGGACCACTACATCTTCTACTGTGAAGGCCGGCTCCAAGGGATGTCACATCGCAAGGGGAAACTCGTGGGTGAGGAACCACAGCCCTAATCATGGCCTCTGCTTCTTATAGTCGTAAGGAGGGCTATTAGAAGGGAACTTGGAACACTCAAGGTGCTACTCAGGCGGGATGTAAGATCCAAAGTGGAAAGTGGGTGAGCTGTGAGAAACCTGGCTCGTGTGACCTTGGAGGTCTGAGCCTTCAGGAGGGATTCCCACCTATGGAACTGGCAAATGCCATTTCTAGGGGTCTCAGATAACTGCCAGTCAATATGAAGGTAACTAACTCCATAAGGGCCTTGATGTATACGTAGGATCTTCCAAAGTCAGGGGTCAGCCCCCTGCGTCTGTGTCTTAGTTAGGTTTTCCATTGTTGTGAAGAGACACCATGACCAAGGCAACTCTTACAAAGGGAGACTTTTAACTGGGTGGCTCACAGTTCAGAGGTTCAGTCCATTGTCATCGTGGTGGGTATGGCAGTGTGCAGGTACACATGGTGCAGGACAAGTAGCTGGAAGTCCTTCCTCCTGACTTGCAAGCAGCAGCAAGTGGCTTGCAACACTGGGTGTGGTTTGAACATATATGAGACCACAAAGCCCACCCCCATGAGACACATTTCCTCCAGAAAGACCACACCCATTTCATAATCGTGCCACTCCCTACAAGCTTATGGGGATCAAATACATTCCAGTATCCCACTCTGAGATCCAGGGCTATCACTGGTTAGGGGAGTGACCCTGAAAGCCTCTTAATGTTCACAAAGGGTCCTCGGGATCACCAGGCCCCTGGCAGCCCCCATCCCAGAGCTCTGTATCCACTGCCCTCTTCCCTCTTATGCTGACTGCTCTGGGTTTTCAGGCCCAGCGCTGGTCAGTGCTCTTGTCCTTGGTCACTGGTCCCCTGCAGAGCTCTGCATCACTACTGCCCTGCTCAGCTTACCATCTGCCCACAGGGAGAGACCCTGGGGAGAACCCAGAGGCCATGGAAGAATTTAAGAAATTCGTACAGCTCAAGGGATTCCGACAGGAAAACATCATCGTGCCTGAGCAGAGAGGTGAGAGAGGAGAGACTGCCCATGTCCTTCCCCCGCCCCACCCTGTTTCTCCTCTAAGTCTTCCTGAGAGCTCTCTGTCTCTGTTCTTATTTGTCTGCATTGTCTATCCCATCTCTGGACGCCCCTTTATGCCTCTGCATGCCCTGTGTGTGGTTGTGTGTCACTGTTACTCACATGTTGTTGGCTCCCCACAAACCCCACTGCCCCCTCATTAGGGCACCAGAGCCCAGGTCCAAGTCTTGGCTTGGAAAGGTCTGAGCTGTAGGTTTGATGGGGTCCTTATCCGGAACTCCTTCTCACCGCTGGTCTTTCCTTGGTTTCTACAGATCAGTGCATCCCTGAGAGTAGCTAGGGTAAGTGGCCTTCTGGGAGGACCATGGAAAAGCCTGGAGTCCTGGGTTGTGGAGGTGGAAGGTCCATGTGCTTTGCTCCTTATCTCATCCACTTGAGCAGAAATGGGACTGGAGAAGCGATTCCTGGAATAATCCCTGGACTTTGCTCTATGCATGGTTATATCTCCCTATGTCTCATACCCAGAGACACTTGACAGGTCATGGGTATAAGAGACAGGATTACTCTCTTGGCTGTGGTTGTGGCTGCGGAGCAATGACTGCACATATGCATTAGGATACAAGACCTCTGACAAGCCCCTACCACTCACCTGTGCTTTCTTTGGTACTGCAGCCAATCATGGATGCACTTGCTGATTCTGCCCTAACACCAGCCCAGTTCACAGTTCTGGGGCATCCTGGACCTCTCCTGCTCTGGACCACTTTCCCTACCTTCACTGTTAGATTTCACTCCACCCATCCCCAATACCAGTTGACTCCTAATAAAGCATTTCAGCATCATTCTGGCTTAGTCTGTTTATAAAGGGCTTTACATTGGCTCACTAAAAGATCTGACAGAGTAGAGTCTTGTGGATGTTGGGGAAGATTTTGGGCTCAGCAAAAGCCATTTCCCAAAGAGTATGGACTATGTTTAAGCTAGAGAATCAGACATAACAGAATGAATCTATATAGATACAGGACCAACTCTTTCACCAATGACTGTTTCCTGATGGAAAATTCAAGAATCTAGTAGTTGTTTAGTCCATGAGGCTGGATGTCTCAAGTAGTCTTCAATATATGCCAGAATGCTGAAAGGAAGGTTCTAATATCAGTAAAGAAATTAAGTTGCTGGCAAGGGCAAGAAGGCAAAAAGCAAGCACTCCCTTTTTCCATATCCTTTATATAGGCTGCCACCAGAATGTGTGACCCAGTTTTAAAGGGAATTATCCTACATCAAAATATCTCTGGATTTAGGCTAGATCTTCCCACTTGAAATAATTCAATTGTTAATAATCCCTCACAGGTGTATTCTGCAGCTTGGATTTGGTAGTTGAGTGGGCAAGCAATAGCCATCACATCCATCTTGTAGTGACATTCTCAAGGCCCAACTAATCAGCCATTGGCTTACATGGCTTGTTTCACATGAACTAATGAAGTCACTCATCTTTATTGCATCTAGGTCTATCAGTCCCTCTGTGTAGCATGAATAATGAAAATCCTGAGAGATATTGAGGTTCAAGCTAAAAATCAGAAAAGCATAGAATCAAACCCATTGCTCTTACTTCTACCAAGATTAAAATGAGATCCTGTCTTCCCTGTGACTGGAAACTAAATCTCACAGAAGACCCTTTTCTTCTTCCTTATATACCTCTCTAGTGTTGGTATTAAAGTTTTGAGTTCTGTTACTGATTCACTCTTATATAGCCCAGGTGGTCTTTGACTCACAGAGATCCATCTGCCTCTGTCTCCTGAATCCTGGGATTAAAGGTGTGTACAACCACTGCCCATCTTCTATGGCTAACGCTAGTTGGTTGACTTTTCATTCTGATTTTCAGAGGCTTTATTAGCTCATAAACAATACATCACCACAGCTCTGTGCTTATTTTATGAAATTTGGTGGTACACAAATATTTGCATCTTCTTTTTAAAGTTTTTATTTTACATATATGAGTGTTTGCCTGCCTGTATGTATGTATTGTGCCCATGGAGGCCAGAAGAGAGCATTGGATCCCCAGAGCTAGAGTTACAGATGATCACAAACCATCATATGGGTCTGGGAACCCAACCAGACTGTTCTACAAGAGCAGCCAGTGCTCTTAACCAATGAGCCATCTCTCCAACCTCTTATTGAATCTTCTTGGTGAATTGTTCCTGTTATTAAAATGTAGTGACCTTGATTATCTTTTCTTACTAATTTTGGCTTGAGCCTTATTTTGCTAGAATGAGTAGAAACGCTTCCTGCTGTCAGTGAGAAACTGAAAGGTGATCCTAATTAGTCTTATCAATAAAAAATCAGGAGTTAGATATCTGGGTAAAAGCTGAAAGATCAGAGAAGTAAAGCAGCAGCTACCAGAGACTTCTTACCTCTCTGAATTCTTCAACCAAAAAGCCAAGATTCTGTCTCTGTCCTGCCTTATCACTTCCTGTCTGTCTGTACAGATCCCCAGACCTCTATGGTTAACTAGTGCCTAGCTCCAGTCTCTGATCTCCAGGTGAGCTTTATTTGTCAGAACAGAAACAAAATATCACACAGCATTCCTTCCACCTTTTGGTCTAAGTAAAAAGTGAAGGTTTTAACCAACATAGAAAAACTATATATAATAACTACAATAACTATATACAAATGTATAAAGGCAATACACTAACAAAGTCTAGTCCATTAGCATTTGACAAATTCAGGGAAAATACTCCATTATCTATCCTCTCTTGTTTAGTTCAAGGTGTTGTACCTAATTCACTTTCTATCCTAACTTGTATTACAAACCCAAACCTATCTTTTGATGTAGCTCAGCTTTATACACTCTACAGCTCTTTAGTGAGTTTCTTTTCTGAATTACTTAACAAGAAAAAACTGTAACTATAACTATCTAGTCTTCACCTCCATCAAAGACCTGAGAAGGAAATAATATTACCTGAGTAAGCAGGAAGTGCAGGCAAGCAACTTCCAAAAAACAATGTGGGAAATGACCGAAAGAGCTGGCTGCCTGAACAGTCACCCAAAGTTCCTCTGAAACATTGGGGGATCCAGCTGCAGTCTGACAGATTTTCTATGAAGCAAGATATTCTGAAGGGCTATCCTACCTTGTCTTGGCAAAGTTTGGCAATCCTTTCCCTTGTGTCCTGCTTATCTGATTTGGACAATATACTGTCAGCAGTTGAGGCAAAGGGCAGTTTCTTGCCCAGTGGCTAACTTTTGCCACAAAGAAAGTAAGCTCCATATGGAATTTCTTCAATGCCCATCATCTTCTCTGAAGTAGATTGGTGTTGCCAGGAGCAGACATGTTTCATTGTCATAACAAAAAAAAAAAAACTTGTGTTATTAAAACATCTTAAATACCACATTCTGTAGATCTCCGAAGTGTTTGAAGA